CACAAACAACAGTACATGAAAACACTTGACTCTCTCAAACTGGTATCCTTGATAACAAAAAAACAATCTAAAACAACATAAATATATTTGATAAATATCTGAATCTGCCATAAAGCAGTTTTAATTTTCTGGTATTTTAGGTTACTAAGGATTGAGACTTCAGACTTTTTAATGTACCTATAAATTGATTTTTTATGCTCTTCTGGACTAATTGTAGATCAAGAAGTTCTTAATTAATAATTTAGGACAAACATATTATGTTGACAATTTTCATTAGCATGACCTAATTAAGTTAATTGAAGGCCTGTGGGAAATCTATTACAACACTGCTTCTTCTCTCAATCATTGTTATGTAAATATTGATAATTATTGATAATTATTTGTGATATCTTTGCACTCCATACATCCTATGTAGCATCAAGATTTTTTGCTGTAAACTTGGTGTTGATGTATGGATCTGTAATATCATAAAAAAATGGTTTGAGAAGAATTCTTATGAAATATTCTATGGCCGAATTAATTTTATACCTTGAAAGGGACAATGGTATTAGATTCATAATATAAAATTTGTAAAGGTTTGTGGTTGTCTGACTTTTTTGAATTTTTGAAGTTTTGAAATTGCTAGTTTAGCAGTTAAATTTTTATTACTCTCTCTTAATATATAACAATATTGACTAGTATCACACCTAAAGTAAAGGTGCCCGTAAACAGGGAATTTTCAATTTTTTTTTTATTATCTAAATGGCATCTGTTGTCTGTGTACTGTTGTTATAATTTTTAAAGATTTTTTTGGCATAGATTTTAAAACTTTTGGTAAGATATTTTTATTGACCTGGTCCCAATTATCTACAGATGTGGATGGATCAATGAAATCAGTTTCTGCTCCAGTAGCAGCAGACAGTTGACATGTTTATTACAGACGACCTTCACCTGTACATGTTGTCTGCTAACTGTGTCAGCATGGTGATTACCTGGATTTTATTTGATCTCCTGTGGGAGTACAATCTGAAATGAGATGTGGATGAAAAGTAAAGATAATGTACAAATACTATTACCCTGGTATACATGCATTTTAATGTTTTATTCTAAATGAAATTAATGGCCAATGTCTATACTTATGTCACGCTTTGAAACATCATATTTTGTTTAAAAAAAATGTAATACTTAATGACATAATTTCCAAAAAGAGAAATTCTCCGATAAACAAACTTCTTACATGTATATGCTCATGTGCTCAAAGTAAGTAAATATGACAAATATTTTTTTCCAGTAAGATTTGAAATGTGTTAATAATTTATGATTTTCCTTACCTTGTACACTTGCCCTTAAAAAGGTTAAAGTTAAAAGCAAAAATCAGTAACTATTGGGCATATATTTTAAAGTTTCAAAATTGTGAAACTAGGTTACAATTGTATTTAAGAAGATGACTATACCAGGAGATTTACAAAAATTGATGTATCATTTGCACATTCTTAAACTTTGTGGCAAAGAAGAAAAGGATTGAATATTAAACATAATGGATTATAGCGGTACAGCATATAAATGTTATGAATAAAAGGAGATGTGTGGTAAATATTAATAAAGACAACTTATATTTTCAACATAAAAAGACATATATATGATAGATAAATTGGATTCTTTATTCATTACATATTAATCTGTGCATCCTACAGTACACATTAAACTTAAATTTGCTGATCAATAATTTTATTCTTTGTTGAAAGCACTTAATGGCGAGTGCAGTTGCACTATTACTGCTATTTTCAAATACTTATACATGTACAGTACAGAATTTTCAAAACACTTAGAGAACGCTTATTATAGCACATGTCTCGGAAACACTATCTGGTGCATTTATTTCCCTGAAATGTCACTAAAACATTTTCATTTCCTTTTGTGGTAATGACGTTTGCAGAATATCCTTTGTTGGAAGGCTACGTGATGTCATTTAGTATTAGATCGATAAAAGTTTTAACAATTTCACAAATATATTTAATTGTATTTCAACAAACAGTAAGCAATACTTAAATCAATAGGAAATAATAAGGGATAATCGAGTCTGAATGTTCGTAATTACATTTTGTGCATATTTCCAGAAGCAATTACTGCAGACAAATGTATTAAGGTTTAAGAAATGTCCCTGTATATTCCTAATAATTTGACCTAAATATCAGTTTCAATAAGCATATTTATGATTGAAGTTTGTCTTTCATAGTTGTTGATGTAACAAATACATGTAGGCACTTCTGTTTGAATTTACAGATATTGCATTATATTTCTAATTTTGACATGTTCATATTTTTTTACTAATTAATGTATATGTGGCTTGATATTAATTTTTTGAATGAGATTTTTAAGAATTAATAACTGGTCTGGTATCCAAAACTTCCAATTTTTTTTTATCAGTTGAGTTGATAGTCAGTTGGGGTAAAACAATTATGGATTATTTTAATTTATCCAATTTAAAGCCAATCCTATTATAGTATAGGGGTTTTCAGTCTGTGCATTCTTCCGTTATCTATATGTCATATGTATGTGGTTGAATGATTGGTTAAGATTTTTGTGGTCACATAAAATTGTAATTTTTTTAGCACAGAATATATATATGCCATATTACATGTAGGGGTTTGACCTAGATTTGGCAACTCACTGAATATAGAAATTTAATAAAGCAAGAAGGGGCATGGTGTCCAAAGAACACACTTTCTTTTTAAACAATTAGTTTTGTGAAATCACATTGCTTTCGGAAGGACAGTGCATTTTTTTTTAAGATAAACAGATGTAAGAGACACTTCCTGGTCTGAAACATACTTCAAACATTACTAATTACTTCATCCTGGAAATATTAAATATGATTTTTACATTTCTTTGTTATTTGTTGTATGTGGTAAGAGTTTTAATCCTCTTTATATGAAAAGACAAAAGCACTTGTGGTTTCTATTCGTTCATGATAAATATGCTCACAGCTTGTAGGATGTTAGATTTAGTTGAGACAGTCCATAATAGCAGAATGCTGTAAGTTGTTGATGCTGTGTATTTTATCGAAAAATTGTAATCTTAAGGGAAGATTTTCCAGACTTTAGTTTACATCTTATGGCTTTAGACAATGTTTATAGCTCTTAAAAACAATGCAAGTTAATTGTTAGGGACTTATTTTGTAATAATTTAACCGTGTTATTAATTTTAAACTGAAATATTCATGTCATATATAAGGTATTTGAGGTGTGAAGCAACCTCTTAAGTATTGCTTAGAAAAAATGAATAAAGAACAGTTAATTTATTGAGAGAGTTACATGAAAAAATAGTTCACTTAATGACAAACTAATGAAAGAGACAGTAAACCTGTGAAAACTGATGAAGGAAAAAATCTGGAGAGGAAAAAAATATGAAAATACTGTTTTATGAAACAGCTGACTTTTTAACGCCTTTTAAAGTTGAAAAGTGGAATTATAGCAAAAGACAAATATAAATTGTTGGATTTTGGATTTTGTTATTATTGTGCCTTTTATTCTATATTTATTTGGTATAGTATACGTAGCACATTTTTCTGAAAGGGACACCTTACAATGTAAATAGAGTAGCATAAAATTGATTTTATCATTTCTGGATTTTTATGCCCCCGCAGTAGCGGAGGGGGCATTAAGTTTTACCCTTGTCCGTCTGTACGTCCGTCAGTCTGTACTTCCCAAAGTTGGTTTCCGTTCTCTAACTTTAGTTTGCCTCAACCAAATGTTATGAAACTTATACACAATGCTTATTACCACAAAACGCAGATCAAGTTTGAATTTTGGTGGCGTCACTTTATCTGTTCTAGAGTTATGCCCCTTTACAAATGGAAAAATTGCTGAATTTTTCGTTTCCGTTCTCTAACTTTATTTCTTTCTTGAAGTAATAATGTTTGAGTACAACTTATGATGAGTCTGAAAAATCACCAATGACATTAGTCAGAGTTGACATTATATCCAATAGACTAAACTTTGTAAAACATGTACATGTAAAACAAGAGAACATGATGAAAATGTGAAGAAAATATTCATCCTTCAAATTAAATGGCAAAAATGTATTTATTTAGTGCTAAACAGAAGATTACTGATTACATTTTTCAGCCGACACCACACAAAGTAAGACGTATAATCTATTAGTGTCCAGCGGCTCTTTTCACAAAAAATCTTATGTTCGTATAAATTGATTGTAAGTTATACTGAATGTTCCTGACTTTTTCTCCTAAGATTTTTTTGTAAAATTAGTTGCAGGGTTATTGTTATCAAGTAGGAAGTATAGAATGTATTCAGTTGTTTATGTAATATGGAGGACAGATGTATCGTGATATCATATTGATAAAATATGATGTAAAAATGATAAATAGTTCATTGTTTAATGATTTAGATTAAATAAGGAAGTTATTTAGGAGTTGTTTTCTACCATTTATATGTACATATAGGGTAGTTTTCAGTTTAATCGATTGTTGAGGTTTTAAAATTTCAACCTCTGATATCATATATATATATTATTTTGATAAATATAAACTTATCTACTTAGTTACAATTTGATATTCAAAAAGGATGTTGAGTTTCAACTGGTTTGTAATTCTATCTCCGACTCATTTGCAAGATATGAATTTATGGTTTCAGAACTAAGAATAAAGCATTTAAAGTGTACTGGGTAATATTTTCAAAAGCGTACACCAAGATGTTATGATAACGTTGTTATAACATCCCATAAAATAATGGCTACCCAAACAATTGCAGTTTTCATTTTGATTTACAAATAATCGAATTATTAAATCTTTGAACCTTCAGATTCTTAAAACGAGAATGAGCTGGCTTTGGCGGGGAATTTAGGTTCAGTTCATGTTTACTTCTGTATAAGTTGACCATCAAGGGTTAATCCAGGGTTGTAATTGTTGTCACAAGTTTGATTTGCTTTAAATGTCAGCAACTTATTGCCTGTCTACATTGTCTATCTCTTTCATCTTTACTAATTTTGATTTTATTTTTTAGGACAATCACAGAAGAAAAAGTCCAGAAACAGTTAGGTCTATCATGCCTTGATCTCATTACAGTGAAAAGAAATGGTGATTCATGGTAAGTCTATTGATATCTAGGGCATAAAAATTGTACTTTACTTCAAAGTAAAAATCTTATTTTCTACCTTTTTAAACTAGAGCTTGTATATACACTTGTGTATTGTTGAATACTGTTTGTTAACCTTTAGAGGTCTTTTTGTTATTTGTGTCGTTGGGTTGCTGTCTCGTTAACATATACTATTGAGTTTAAAGAGACACAAACTTTTTATAATTTTTATAATACCTTTTTCAAGTTTTGATCTACATGTATCTAGTCTGACCCTAATGTTTGAGTGTCATGCACACTTTATCACATGTAGTGTTTGTGGTTACTCTACCGAAAAATCTTCACCTGTTTTCTATGTTTACAGTTGTTGTGATTGAATTAAAAATTTGTATTTTTTGTTACGTGTTTGGTTACTAAAGTGTTGATTTTATGCCTGAGTTAAATTTGAATAACATCTGTAGTCATTGTCATCCTTCTATATTTACAGCTTTACAGATGATATGGGGAACGACAGTTGTTCGGATCTGCTTACACCAGATGCTTCTCGCTCGTGCACGCCGCTGTCTGTCGCAGGAAGTTGTGTGTCTAGTCAAATCAGCAAGGACTCTCGGACCCCTGATGTCCAAGAGAGTTGCAAAGAGACCCCTTCTCTATGTAAATGGAAAAACTGTGATATTTCTTTAGATTCTTGTCGTCTTATGGACCACTTAAAACATTGCCATGTAGAACAGCAAACGGGTGAAAAATTTCATTGTCTGTGGGAGGGATGTAAAGTTTACAATCAATCTTCTAGTTCAAAATCTTGGTTAGATAGACATATTCTGACACACAGTGGTGACAAACCATTTAAATGTATATTTGATGGCTGTTACTTAAGGTTCACATCTCAGAAAGCACTGGAACGTCATGTAAATACCCATTTCAATGCATTACAGCACACTAGCCAGAAACCATCAAAACCTCGGGAAGACACACCAACCAAACAGTATAGGAAAAGAAGGGTTAAAAGAAAAAGACCTCTAGGTGAGTAAATGTTCTGACTATGACAGTCTTCACAATAGACTTGATTCTAAAGGCCCAAGGCTGAATTTTAAGAAAATTAGTAGTAGACTTTATTGGCCTGTGGAGATGATTTTTACAGGCCAGACAAGTTTTACAAGCCTGGGCTGGTGGGCCTCTGGTTGAGTGGGAAGACTGCAATGAGGTTTGTGTCAGACTTTTAATATTAATTTTGTGGGAGTATAAAAAAAAGTGGATTTGGAAGTTAACTTTAGCAACAAGCCTAACAACATACTGTAAATTACCGCCTCAAAAAAAAATTCAGGAGGTAATATTTTCAATATTTCCAAAAGAAAAAGGGCTTGTGTTTTAGGTTTCCTACTGAAAAGAAAAAGGGTATATTTTTTCCCTCAATTTTATGACCTTTAGTATATGGAGATTGAAATTTAATCATATAATATTTTTGGCTGTTTTGATAATACTGAGTCTTCCATTGACACCAGGATCTAATAATCTAGAAATCTATGATGGGTAGTTTTGTCTCTGTGTGATTCACAAAATTGTTTTAAATAATCTGAAAGCTGTCTGATGTAGACATAAGCAAACAAATAATGACGGAGGAAGTGACAAATATGTATACCTTGTGAACATTTTATAATTCAAGAAATCATATTCATATTTTCAGTTTTAATTAGTTTCATGAGTTTTTCTTCATACTCTTTTTTTTTGGGGGGGGGGGGGGGGGGGGAGGTGGAGGGGGGAGGGAGTGCTTATAGATATATATTACTTTATATTTTAGAAGTTTGTAACTTTGGAAGATGCAGTTATTTTTTGTTTGTTTGCATGAAACAGTTCAAAGTTGAGCTGAATTGATATTAATCTGTAACCTTTTCATAAAGATAAAGCTAAAGAACAAATGTTGTAAAACCCACATGTCAGGTTGACCAAAGATTCATAGATTAATTTAGGGATAATTTTTATGAACAATTTTTTTTTAAGATACATAAGATAAAGCATCATATTTTCTGCCAGCTCTGATATAAACCCAGCCAATTATATTTAAACTGATTTTAGGACTTTTTATTTTTATCGCCACCTGGTAATTATTTTTGAAAATTCTTCAGATAAAAAATGTGAATACAGAGGGGGTTTAAATCCAAATTAAATTAAATGAAAAAAAAATTGAAGTTCATTATTGAAATGATTCAGACTTCCGGAGGGGTTTAAAATGTCATTGAATTTGGATTTAAGTGGTCGTTGGAGGAATTAAGTTAGCCAGAGGGTTTAAAAGAAAAAGCGTTGTGACTGATGCAGACTTTCCAAAGAAATAAATTGTTTTCTTAACACAATAGTCCTTCCCTGAAGGCAAATAGATTTCGAGTAATAAGATTTTTCTGCATGAATTAAGTAAGCATATGTTTTTGTTGGGAAAAGTTTGGTTTTGATGAAAATCAGTCAGTGCATTTTACATCGGTCATTGATTAAATATTAAATGCCTTATCCAAATACGATCAAATAAAAATAACCACAAAATATAGAAATTAGTGAATATGAATAAGCATACCGGAAAGTAGTTAATATTTATTTATCTGTGATGTTGAGGATTTTAATACCCATATATTTTCTATGTGCAGACTTTTGAAATATTTTGATAGTGTATACAGTGGAAATACTTGAATTAATTTGTGTTTTGATATTTTTAAGTGACACTTGTGGTTAACCTACATAAATTTTAAAAAATTTTTGTACCTTTCATATTAAATGTGACACATTTTCATTAGCATACATGAGAGAGTTATTGAACATTGTAGACTTTTATTCCACGGGAAGGAAATATAACTTCTTTTCAATCAAAATTTTTTCTATTTTTATAATAGAAGAGAGGCAGAAGGTACCAACGGGATATTCAAAACTCATAAGCCAATGACAAAATACTGTAAATTCTGAAATTATTGCGATGTTTTTATTATTGCGAAAAATGCGACAGGGTTATAATTGCAATAATTTAAACTCGCATTTTGAAATTTTTTATATGAATTAAACAGGATTTTTCTCAATATCGCAAAAATTTAAATCGCATTTTAGTCTAAAATGACAAAATCGCAATAATAAATGCACGCAATAATTTCTGAATTTACAGTAATGACGCCAATGCAAGAAAAGTAAAAAAGACAAAAAAATACATTGTTATTCAAAAGTTGTTTTTTTTTCAATGAAGAATAAACTAGAAGCAGAAAACTTTTTTTTAAAATTTCTTTTAAATCGTTGATGGATATTATCTACGAAATAAAAACTATAACCTAATTTTAACGTTCAAAGAAACTTACTATCAAATACTAGAAAATAAGAAAATTATTCCCATGAAATCAAATTCACAGACAAAACCTTAAAGTTATAGCCCCACAAAAATTAATGTTTCTGCAGTATATATGTTTGTCCTTTGAACTCATTACCCAGATTTCACTTTGTAAAATATTTATCTAATTAAATTTCTCCCTTCTTGATGTCAAGTTCAAGATAGTTCTACTTTTCTAATTATTTTCAGGGCTTAATATGAAATAATTTGCCAGTAAAAATCTCAAGAAATTGAATGATTTGTATATGTTGTGGTTGACTTGTATTTTGTGTCTAGCATTACTTTAAGTACCCCACACCTTGTCAGGTTATTATATTTGTCAAAGAAAGTTGATCATTAGTCATAGGACTTCATCAAGGCTCGTATTAATTAAATTTAGTCAATTTCAAGATGTGTGGCATGTCATCTGTCTACAGGTGTTGTGAAATAAAAGTTTATAGTAGAAAATATAACCTCTTGAAGTTGACTTTTTGTTTTTTTTTACCCACAACCTTTTTAATATAAATTCTTCAAAATACAACAGATAAGAATTAACATTTTTTTTTTTATGTGTTATTGTACATAGGTTGGCCTGTACTGAACATGCATGAAATATTTGCCTACGAACTTTAAGCAAACAATCAATCTCACCCATCAGTGGCAGAGTGGCCAATACATGAACTACTTCTAGATTGTCCTTTATGGCTACCCTATGGAATGAACCTGCCATTTTTTTTCTTTCATCATAAGGCTTGCAATACATTAGAAAATGAGATAGCTTTTGTGATTAATATCTTTTCAAAATCTGATGTTAAATTTCAGTGTGTTTAAGTTGGCTGCCAGGGTGGGCAAGTTGAAAATGACAAAAATTCCACCATAACAGTAGAGAACATATGAATATATAATTTGTTGATAACACAACCCACGGCTGTGTTTTTCAATGTACAAATGTAAAGTGATAAAAAAGTAGCAGCTAATTTCTCTCAAACTGGTGCAAGGGGCTGTCTTGAACTCTCAGTGAGATGAGAGTAAACGTTCGTGCTGCACATTGAAGCTGACTTTGACATGAAGTGCAGAAAATTAAAGCGCTGTTCCTTTGCTTTTGTTTTTTTACATGAACATATATTTACTTTGCATCATGAATTGATATACTAAATCCTAAAGGTTTTTCATTATGTTTAGTCTTTAGAAAAAGACTTACTGGTTCCTGGCACTGAGGTTGTGAGTTTGAATCCCGCACATGGCAGGTGCCCTACAGACTCCAGTCTTAATTGACTAGGATTGTTAGTTTCCTACTGAAGGTCGCTAGTTTGCTCTGTGCACTGAGGCTTCCTCACCAATAAAAACTGACCGACACGAAATAGCACTAAAGTGCTAAAAGTGGCGTTAAACACCAATCAATCAATCAATTAGAAGAGGCTCTGTGACATTCAGCTTTATAACATTCCATTCTTATCCTGTTACATTTTTTATTTAAAATGCCTTGCTAAAATGACATTTCAACAGGGTCCTGAGCTTATCCAATCGATGGTTAACTATGACTGGTTGTAAATATAATTTGAGACCTGTTACATAAAGACTATAATTGGTCACACTTTAGTTATCACAACAGAGATTATATTTCTTTCATGTCAACATAGACCTTTTAACAGTTTAATCCTTTTGAGGTCTTTTAAAATGATTCACTAATGAAAATATGGTATACCACATTTCTGTTTTTAGATGAAAAAAATGTGTGGGAGAACTAATTTCCATTTATAAAAAATATATACCGGTACTAGAAATATAAATAATTTGAAGGATTGACAGAAATATTACATAAATGTTCATAGACCACATGTTATAAAACTTGTATTATACATTAGAGAATCATATTAAAAAACCAAATTTCTCTTTTTGACAATTTAATTTTATTATTAATGCACTTTCTGATGAGATGAATTGATATTGGCAATTGATTATTACATGTCTAAATTAGAAAAAGACATTTTCAATTTGTCATTCTATTTCTTTTTGTTTACTTCAGTCTTCATTCACAGTGCATTGCAGTGGCTTTCAAAAAGTTAAAGTGACATTGAGAATTAACTTTATGAATTATATTCTACTAAGTAAGGGCCAATTTCTGTTCAACGGAAGATTCCAGAGTCAAGGGGCCTTTGCTCACGTCCCGCTCTGCTGAAAATTGATTTTTTTTTACCGTAGTCCATTTTCCGTATTTGTTACTGTTCCGCCCCCTTATTTGTCAGTGGACACTCTGTTACCCCCTTATTGAAAATCCTAGGATGTGATGTCATGAAATTCCTGTCATACGTTCATGACCTTAGTTTGACCCAAATCAGGAACAGTTGAGCTACCTTATAAATTAATATTAATATTAATAGAGCATTACTATCACCCAAAATGATATATTTCAAACAAGTGGATAATTCTATTTGAATATGAATAAAATGAGATTTTTATGCAAGTGTAGGAAAAATTTTGGTAAAATTTTATTATTTTACTGTATTTTCTCTTAATTTCATTTAATATGTATATCTGACTGAAAAAAGAAAAAATTTGAATAAAAAAAGGTTGTTTTATTGTGGCACACATTGCAAATTGTAGTAATTTGAGATACATTAACGTTTAGTGCCCATTTGGCCTCGGATTTCATGTATGGCTTCTTTTTTGAGGACATATCATGAGAAACAGGTTTGAATTTGACTAATTAAAAATCCATCTGTTTTAGTTTCCTCAAGTAATTATCTTCAAACTGTAGACAATCCATAAAGGAAGATATTGTGATGGAATTAGCAAATTACTATAAACAGGATTAACAGAGCAGAATAGTCTTAAAAAATCTAGATCAATGAAACTTTTAACGTTCATTAAAATCTTTCATTAAATTGGACAAAACTAAAGATATCTAATTACTGCCATTTAGGTTTTTATTATGCAGCTGCGGGCTATAGGAAACTTTTATTTCAATGTTGCATGTTTAAAGAACATAAGAAAGAAATATGTATACAAGATCTTATCGGCATTCTACATCAGAGGTTATTTGTATTGTCACTTGCAGATACTTTGCTACATGCATGTTTTTTTTCAAGCCTCACCTACCTAAGTGTGGGGCATTATGTTTTCTAGTCTGGGTGTCTGTCAGTATGTTCATCCCTTATCAAATTAAAGTTGTGGTCACATTAACCAGAAAGTTCATATTCTAATGAACTATACACACACTATAACTCACATCTGGTATTTTTGTTGTTTTCCCAATTTCATTGAAAATCGTGTAAAAAATTTCCAAATCCGCCCAGGGTCCTTGTTCCCAAATTACCCAGAAAACCCCCTGATATATTCAAATTACTATAAAATTTAGGGTTTTGACCAAGATTTTACTTTTCAGTGAACATGTGATAATGTGAGGGGGGGCGGCATCAGGTGTTCAAAACTTTGAGGGTTGAAAGTTTCTAGAAATTATTTGAGAAATTTATACAAGATTAGATCATTTTGTATTGTATTATAGTATATTTATTATATTTTATTTGCTCGATAAACTTGTTAAATGTAAAATTAATCTGTTGAAACAGAATGAAACATGATATTAGGATTGCAACTTGTTATTTAATTGTTCTGCATCTCCGACAAGATTTAATATCCTTAAAAGGACAAGCAATTGCATTTGAAGATTTCTGTATAAATCATGGTTAGACGTGGAATGAATCCATTTATTTGAATCCATTCCCTGTATTTATTTGATGTATATTAACATGCCATCTTATTAAGGCAGACATTTTTACAGCAGCACAGAAAATGCAATTAGTAAATTACCGACAAATCGTTGACTTTGTCGCGACATAGGCAGAGCATGCTTAACAGTAAATCACAATCCTTATTGTAATGTTAATAGTTGATTTTCTACAAGACTGAGCTCTGTATTTGGAAATAATATCTGATAGAGTACAACATAATTACGACCTGTATAGTCCATATTTAATGCAGTGGATATGCCCTCGTTGTCCTTGATTGTGACCGAAAACATTACAATTATAAATCTTAAAACTACCATTTCTTTTAAAGAAAAAATAAGATAAGGCTATAAATCGCGACAGTTAAATGGTATAGTTACGAAGTTAATGAGGTTTTGGATGACAGGAATGGTATTTGAATTATCTATGTGGTAGTGCAAAGTTCTTTGTTTTTGTTTAATGTGCAGAAAATTGTAGACCTTGTCTAATTACATTGTTTATACATAATGTTACTTTTGCATTGTGTAATTAATCAAAATTTTCTTTATTTTAATAGCTATATATATAGTGAAGTCTGGAACAATTTAATAATTTATTAGTTTTAAGATCTGTCTGGAACAATATTAATGAATGTGTGTCTTATGCATGAGTCTTATATATTTGAAAACTGTATCATTTTTAAGACCTTTAAAACAATTTAAATTGTGTTTGATATTTATAGACTGACTCCTTACATAAATAACCATAGACAATATATCATGCAAACTCATGACATGTGTGACATCCTTTTGTATCAAGTATTTTAAAATTAGTTATTTTAGAACTTAAATGTACATATTTTTGGATCAAATTTCATACTTCTGCAGATTTTTTTTTTGTCAGTTTATTTATATGTTTTGAAATCATGAACAGTTTAAAGACCAAAGTTACCATTTGAATATTAATTAAAATAAATATGCAGGTTTCATCCACCTGTTTAAATGAGAGGATTATTTTTATTCCGTGACTTAAAAGGGAAAAAAATTTACTCTATTCTGTTCTTCTTTATTAAATGAGTATGAAATATTTGATTTTACTTTCGTGAGCTGTTACAGGAAATAGTACTGATTGGATTAAAATAGATGTAAATGTGAACACGTACAAAATAATTTTTACTGGCAAACATAAAAAAAATATAGGTTAATCCTTTAAGAAATAGTTGTTTGAAATTGAGAACTACCGGTACAAACAAACTTGGGCTTGTTGAGTCACTGTAACAACTTCAATCAGTGAGGTGAAATTGTAATTTAAAAGTCAAGCGTATTTATATATATTTCTATAAAATCTGTTTAAAAGTAAAGAAGAAAAAAAACAGTCTTAATGGAACACTGACAGTCATCAGGACTTAAAATACATATTCTTTTCTTATATAAATTGACCTCCTGTCTTTTCCGACAACAAAAAAATTCAGTCAAGAAGGAGACAGGTTTGACTGAACTTCATAGGAAAGAATTACATTATATACACTTTAGCTCATATGGAAATTGCTTTTTCCTCCCTGCAATCGAAGTTTAAATCTTGTATTTTGTACAAATGTTGACTAGAAGTGCTTATCTGACTGTTTACGATCTTTTGATAAAACAAAACAACATAATAACAAGTCATTTTTCAGGTAATCTGCTCAATTTAGGTGACTTTACATAAATATTCAGTTGGGTAATTTTTGTTTCAACACCAGATCTTTTTTTGTAAATTGACCACTTCACTTGCAAGGAAATTGCATTTTGATATGGTGTATTGTGTAGTTTTAATAGGTAGCTAATCAGATATTAAAAAAGTGCCATGTGAGGAAAAGAAAGGGGTCAAATGGGTCCTCATATTGTTACTGATTTGAAATGATATAAATTGAACCAGACAGGAATTTTTCCTTTTCCTACTAAGTGCATGTTATTTTCCTCATTCCCATCTTCCCTTTTGAAGAACAAGCTTTTATGAGCATTCACAAGTATTTTAGCTGCAAATTGTTGACAGTATATTAATTTTAAGTTCAGATTTTTATGTATTAATTGATTATATTTTTAGTAAAAACAACAGATTACTTCGATCCTGGCATCATGGAAAGATTATCAGACCAGGTGACTTTTGTCACAAACAAAACACAAATTGATCTCAATGGCAGCTCAGACTCAGTCACATTCCATAGCACAGTAAGTCAATGTTTTAAATCACATTCCATAGGACAGTATGTCATTGTACCTAATCATCATTCACAGAGTCACATTCCATAGCACAGTAAGTCAATGTTTTAAGTCACATTCCATAGCACAGTAAGTCGTTGTTTTAAGTCACATTCCATAGGACAGTATGTCATTGTACCTAAACACAATTCACAGAGTCGCATTCCATAGGACAGTATGTCATTTTACCTAATCACAATTCAGAGAGTCACATTCCATAGGACAGTATGTCATTGTACTTAATCACAATTCACAGAGTCACATTCCATAGGACAGTATTTCATTGTGTCTAATCACAATTCACAGAGTCACATTCCATAGGACAGTATGTCATTGTACCTAAACACAATTCACAGAGTCGCATTCCATAGGACAGTATGTCATTTTACCTAAACACAATTCACAGAGTCACATTCCATAGGACAGTATGTCATTGTACTTAATCACAATTCACAGAGTCACATTCCATAGGACAGTATTTCATTGTGTCTAATCACAATTCACAGAGTCACATTCCATAGGACAGTATGTCATTGTGTCTAATCACAATTCACAGAGTCACATTCCATAGGACAGTATGTCATTGTATCTAATCACAATTCACAGAGTCACATTCCATAGGACAGTATGTCATTGTACCTAATCACAATTCACAGAGTCACATTCCATAGGACAGTATGTCATTGTACCTAATCACAATTCACAGAGTCACATTCCATAGGACAGTATGTCATTGTATCTAATCACAATTCACAGAGTCACATTCCATAGGACAGTATGTCATTGTACCTAATCACAATTCACAGAGTCACATTCCATAGCACAGTAAGTCATTGTTTCTAGTCACAATTTACTCTGTCATTCTATTATGTAGCATAGACTACAATCATGGCCAGAATTTCACAGTATGCCACTCAGCTCAGTCTTAGTCATGCTACAGAGTTCAGTGATTCACTTACACTGTCAGTTCTATATCAAAATAAGTCACTACATTAAATCACAACTTAGAACAAGTTATTTTTTAGCACATTGAGTGGATTCATCTGTTCATTAACATGCATGTATGGTCTCATTATGTAGCATAACTAGTGACTAAGTCATGAAATAAATTCTAAGCAATCCAAAGTGCATCTCAAATCAGTTATATGCTAGTAATGTACAAAACACAGACAAGACTTGCATAGATCTGTTAGTCGATGAACATAGTTTACAAAATAGACTTATTCCTTACTATTACAAAACACACCCTGTCTCTTTAATAAATAAAATACAAGTTAAATAATTTTTCGTGGCATATTATTCGTAAGTTTGACTAAATTCTCCAAGAAAATCAAATTTTCATAGAACATGTATACACTAGCATGTACACACCACAACATTTCATAGTACCAGTACACTAAGTGTGTGTATAGTGTTCGAATGATACTACATATAGAGAAGATAAGTGACTTTTAATGGTACATGTTTAATATACTGAAGTCTGTGAGTATTGGAGGTCCATGTTAAAACTTAGATATTTGTCTATAGTTGACTCGCTGTTGACTTCTAGTTTCGTTTGGTTATTTGTGTCGTTGGGTTTCTGTCTCCTTGACATATGTACCCCAAATCTCTTTTTATCACATCAATTGATGTCATACATGATAAGTCACAGCTCAGTTAGTTTGAACATGTGTTGAAAACAAGGTATCCTGTAGACACTGAATAATTATAATATGCATGGTGTAGTGATATGAGGTTATATATAGAAACTATCCACCGGTGACATCTGTCTGTCTGTCTGTCCATTTGTTTGTCGGTTAAAACATCTTGTAAGTTTAATTCATCCTATGCAATCACTGACCTTGACATCATTTTCATGGTTTTGGTTGGTTTCAATGGTCAGTGTTAAGTTTTAGTGTTTTTGTCTGTTTCTCAGATATTATTAGCAATAGGTCAACTATATTTGTTATTTGATGTATGAATTGTTTGTAAACTAGATATCCTTTGTTTTCTGTGTGCAGTACAGAAATTTTATACATTAGGCTCACTGACATGTGAAATCCAAATTTATTTATAGTTAGTTGTAAAAAGTTAAAACTTATAAAACTTGTGGATTGTGAATGAAAACTGGAAGGAAACTGTGCTACACATGATTTTTTCACTATTTTCAATGGAAACAGAATTACATAATAGTTTACGCATAGAATTTTCACAATAAAGTGAATAGTCTAGCTGATGTTTTGGAGATAATAATTTCCATAATTGAAAATAATTCCAGATCTATCAATTACTATGCTGGAAACCATAACATTTAGTTTTTTTATAGACATGGGATTATCGCTCATTTAAAAAAAAAAATTTTTTAAATTCACCTGTCAAACAAAAAACAAAGGAAATCCCATTCACTCTACTTGATTTTTCACCAGTTTCAATAGAAACCCAGACATTTCAATGAATTTTCGGTAAATGACACTCATGTTTTATTAAGTTTTCCATGGTTTGCCTGGATTTTCATTGATTTACTGGAAGCTGATAAGGTGAAGCAGACGACATCTGTAACCAAATTTTCCAAATATAAATATCATTACATGTGACACAGTTTTGATGCTTCCAAATGTTTTGTGTGGTTTTTGTCTCAATATAAATATCATTACATGTGACACAGTTTTGAGGCTTCCAAATGTTTTGTGTGGTTTTTGTCTCAATATAAATACATTACATGTGACACAGTTTTGAGGCTTCCAAATGTTTTGTGTGGTTTTTGTCTCAATATAAATATCATTACATGTGACACAGTTTTGATGCTTCCAAATGTTTTGTGTGGTTTTTGTCTCAATATAAATACATTACATGTGACACAGTTTTTGATGCTTCCAAATGTTTTGTGTGGTTTTTGTCTCAATATAAATATCATTACATGTGACACAGTTTTGAGGCTTCCAAATGTTTTGTGTGGTTTTTGTCTCAATATAAATACATTACATGTGACACAGTTTTTGATGCTTCCAAATGTTTTGTGTGGTTTTCGACTCAGTAGGTTTGAATTTCAAGCATAGTGCTAGTGTACGGGTCATGTGTGGGTGAGAAATAGTTTTAGAGTGAGGTAGGGTTCAATAAATATAGTTCTATATGAAATAAATTCCTTCAAGTAAAAGGGGGCCCTGATATAAGTTTATTCCAGAAATTTGTTACATTAGGCTCTGAAATTGGTATCTCATCAGAACTATATAGGATAGTCTAGATGGGGAGGCCATTTTTCTCTATTCCTTACTTTTTTGCACCATTATTTTCTATTCTTTTCAATGTGATTGAAGACATTGACCACCCACTATTGTCCTTGCATAGATTGTTTTTGTTTTAACATGGATAGCCTATTTCATTAATCCAGTAACATCATTAGAAAAACTGTTTTTTACTGATAAATTTGAAAAATGCATTTTTATCTGATAATCTGTGGAATCAAAGTCAAAATTCAAGCAGAAACCAGCAGGATCTCTACAGAATCCTGCCCCTCAGTTGCATATCACTATTGAAATCTAGATAAGATGTTATCAGTGCATCAATATGGATGAAATATTCTGTACTGAAAATACTTAATATTTTTTTTTTTTTTTCAACAATGTAGAATCTGCATCTGTGATAATAGTTTTCAAATTTGAAAAGAAAAGAAAATTCACTGAGATGACACCAGCCATTGTTGCGTTTTTCAATTTTGTTAAAAGAAATAAAGACATATATATAACTGAAATAAAAAAACGGGCTGACAACAAAATACTCACAGGTGGTCTTATCACAATGTATAAACAAGAGTTTTATGGAAAAGAAATCGGTGAAGAATTAAACAAGTTTAAGTAAACTTCTGGTTTACATGGGGAAGGGGTGTTTGAAGGGTGAGGATGTATATGAGACAACTATCGCAAGATTCACTAAGAATATTAATTATATTAAAGTATTGGTGGTTTTATTGCTGTGCCTCATCTAGACAGTTACCAAAAGGTCTTCAGTGATGAACTCACAGACTCTCATCTTGCAAGCCCTTATAGTCGATTGACTCCCTCTTTCATTAACTTCTATTAGCATCCTGCATGGTGACTTTAGTACTACTTTTTGATATTGGAGGTCAGAAGTGTCAAATGTTCTTCAGGATATGACAAAAAAGGAGATATGGGGATTTTAAAATAACCGTTTGATGCCTGACTGCAAAGTACATCCTTACCCTCAGATATAGGGTATATGTCAATGAGACAGCAACCCTACAACACAAAAAAATTAAGACATCAAGCTAGGTGTCTATAAAATATGTCAAACTCTAAATTATATGAAATCGAATACATTTATAAGGGCCCATCACATGACAAAAAAATGTTGAGAATGATAAATGACAATGGCTCCTAGGTTGAAGCACTGCTTTAATTTAGATTGTGAATGTGATTAATTTTCTTTCAATATTTCACACTTTGTTCTAAGTCACATAGATGAGTCATGCTTGCTACTTGCATATTTTTTCAAAAAGAATGTGTGATGTCAAAAGACTGCATTTCGCAGCTGTTCATTTTGAAAAGCATTATTTTAGATAATTTTACAGATTTTATTGTTTTTTAACACCGTTCAATTACATGCCTTCATGCAGTGATCCAAAGCATTGCACTGAAAGCCCAGCATGCGATCATTCTGGAATATAAGTCTCATCTACTGGAATGGAATTGCCATTTGTTACCGAATGTTATTATGTGTATTCAGGGTTTATAAACCTGTGTATTGAGAATCAAGGCTTAATACAATTGAAATGGAAAGTAATAAAATTGTGAATGAAAGGGAGTGTTAAACATAACTCCAATTAAGTGAAAGAGTATTAGAAGTATTGTATTGTTGTCTGTTGTCATTGGGTACAGCAGAAACTGTACACCTGTTCACTGATTTCCCACCAGTTCTATTATATATATAATTATTGTCACAATACTAATTTGCCAATTTCTTCTGGTGCAGTTTGGTCAAGTAGTGAATAAGTTTAGCTCAATGGATGTGACAGGTAACGAATTTGCAATGTGATAAAAACATTCTTACAATCAAATTCCAATGATTCTGTTAAAAGAAATAAATTCAATCTGCACCTAAATAAATGTGAATAATTGGTATTGTTAATGTGTAAGGCAAATAAGATGAGTAATCAAAACAAAAAATATGAATAAGTTATTGAATTTAATATTATTTTTTACTTTAGATATATATACCTGTGTTTTTGTTTCATGCTGACTTTAAGATAGGACTTTAGAATAATTTGAACAAGAATGATCACTTCTATGAACATTGGTTAACATGTGTGCAGTTATTATGTAAATTTTACAAAAACGCATTGATATAATTACTTGTATCGTTTGTTCAGAATATCTATAGTGTTACACTGCCTTATTCTGTCTGCTCTTCATCCAATTGATAAAGACAGGAAGAAAAGAAAATATCATCCACTAGACAGCCCTAAAATTCCAACAAAGGACTTTATTATCATATAACAAAAGACATCTGTCATTTTTAAAACTCCCTCCCTTTTGTTTTATGTAAAGTAACATTAAACATGCATTAAACTTTAATCCTTCTTATATTGAATCTCTCAGTCAGTTTTAGGGATAATAGAGCTTCCATTTTCCATTGCTTACATGGGGAAAGAAGGATATACATGAATTTCTTATAAACATGATAAAAACATGTACCTGTTAGAAGTCTTGAAACACTACATATGCCATTGTACATGTTTATTATGATTTTTAACTGCTTTTCTTTGTGCAATTTAAAGATGACATTAAAAAGCATTTTAGAGAGAAAAAAAAAGAAGTTTTTTTATTGGTTAATGGTTGTTTATTTTAGGTAATAGCCAGAAGAACAGAAGACAGTTGTAAAGCGAAGGTTTTGTTACAATGGACACCCAGGAATGTGTAAGTTGTTTGTTAATTAAGATGAAGGTTCAGATGATATATTTAGTAGATGAATAATTAAACAAAATATCAAGAAATTATTTAATTACTGAGGAACATGAAATGTATTTTTTTATGCCCCCACCACTAAGCTGATGGTACATTAGTGTATATTGAAGCTTATAGATGAAATTGAAGTTTATTTGTGGTTGGCCAACTTTTGGCAGAGTTATGGCCCTTGGCAAATTAATGCTATTCTGCAGATCTGGGACTAATTTATGGTACACAGTACAAACATTAGGGCTGTTCCTTAAAAACATACATGTGACCCAAGGAACAGGTGCAATTAGTTTTGAAATTTGGGCCTTCAGACTTAACATTAAATTTTTAAAAAAGTGACAAATCACAGAAAATTATTACATGTCATTCAGTAATACATTTTACATTAGAAGGTTTTCCTACATTTCAGACTTATTCAATTACAGAAAAAGATTGTTATGTAATTTGTCTTATGATATAAGGACAACATAAGAACACCATTGGTTTACTTAAGAAAACTGAAAAATTTACCACCTACTAAAATTGTATCTATGTCTGAATGTCTATCATTCATTTAAATCTGAAAACTTTTTCACTGTACATATATAAAAGAGAGGAGGAAGAGATACCATAGGAATATCTAAACTCAATAAGTCAAGGAAAAATTGACAACATCATGGCAAACGACTAAAAACAAACAATAGACAAACAACTGTATAAAAAACGCAACATAGAAAACTAAAGACTGAGCATCATTAACCCAACCAGAAACTGAGCGTGATCTCAGGTGCTCTCTAAGGGTAAGAAAATCCTGCTCCACATGGTGTAGTAAAAATAAGATTTGGTATGATTGCCAATGAGACAACTCTCCACCAGGGACTAAAATGATGTAACGTAAGCAACTATAGATTACCTACAGCCTTTATATTGAGCAAAACCCATACAACATAGCAAGCACTAAAAGGCTCTGACATGGGACAGGCACACACAGAATATGCTTTTTTCCACTGACAGTATCATAAACTGAATTACCTACTTGTATGTAAATGCTGGATACTTTAACATTCTTATTGTTTTATACGACCGCAAAAAAATTTTGCGGTCGTATATTGGTATGACGTTGGCGTTGTTGTCGTCGTCCAAAGACACATTGGTTATCACACTCTAACTTTAGTTTAAGTGAATGGATCTCTAAGAAATTTCACCATAAGGTTTAATACCACAAAAGGAAGGTTGGGATTGATTTAGGGGGTTATGGTACCAACAGTTAAGGAATTAGGGGCAAAAAAGGGGCCAAAAATAAGCTCTTTTGTAACTTCCAGACAATAACTTGTGTGTTAGTGTATGGATCTCTCTGACATTGTAACACAAGGTTCCATATCACAAAGGGAATGCTGGGATTGATTTTGGGGGTAATTGCCTCAAAATTTTAGGAATGAGGGGCCAAAAAAGGGGCCAAAAACAAGCATTTTTCTAGTTTCATGATAATAACTTGTGTGTAAGTGTATGGATCTTTCTGAAATTGTACTGCAAGGTTCCATATCACAAAGGGAAAGCTGGAATTGAGTTTGGGGGTAATTACCCAAAAGTTTAGGAATAAGGGGCCAAAAATAAGCATTTTTCTAGTTTCCAGACAATAACTTGTGTTCAAGTGTATGGATCTCTCTAAAATTGTACTGCAAGGTACCATACTACAAAGGGAAGGCTGGGATTGATTTTGGGGGTAATTGCCTCAAAATTTTAGGAATTACAAATGTAGGGGCCAAAAAGGGGGAAAAAACAAGCATTTTTCTAGTTTCATGACAATAACTTGTGTGTAAGTGTATGGATCTTTATGAAATTGTACTACAAGGTTCCATATCACAAAGGGAAAGCTGGGTTTGAGTTTGGGGGTAATTGCCCTAAACGATTAGGAATTTGGGGCCAAAAAGGGGCCTAAAAACGCATTTTTCTAGTTTCCAGACAATAACTTGTGTTCAAGTGTATGGATCTCTCTGAAATTGTACTGCAAGGTACCATACCACAAAGGGAAGGCTGGGATTGAGTTTGGGGGTGATGAATCATAAGGGGGTTCAAAAAATTGGGGGGAGGGATTTTTTTTTCCTTTTGTTTTCTTTAAAATTTTCCATTTTAAATTGGTTATTTCTGATTTATATATAAAAGCAAATAATAATGATATGGTTTGAATAGGTAAATTAAAAATTTTAAGTTCTTAGACCACATTCATTCTGTGTCAGAAACCTATGCTGTGTCAAATATTTAATCACAATCCAAATTCCGTGCTGTATCAAGCTTGAATGTTGTGTCCATACTTGCCCCAACTGTTCAGGGTTCGACCTCTGTGGTCGTACCAAGCTGCGCCCAGCGGAGCATTTTATTCTTCATTTTTTTGGTTTCTTTTATTTTCAGAATTCCAGACTCCTGGGTATCAGAAAAAGAAGCCAAGTCTTTATCAACATGTGTCATTCCACTCAGAAAACTACCTCGTGACACGGTCACGGCGTTACATCCATCCTTGTTTAGTCAGCATCGCTACAGAAGACATAGGCGGAAATGACGACCTTCATCTTCATCATCAACAAAGAGAAGAAGATATTTTAGTAATCATTATTTTGACCAAGTATTTTAGATTCCGTTGAATCTCAGGGATAAAAGTTGATCATTGAAGGCTGAAGATGCTGTTCAAAATATGTTCTCATTCACGTCATACGTGTGATTTATAGCTTGAATGTTTAAACAAGTCCTTTTCAAATTTCCACTAAAAAATGCACATACTTTCCGAAGATATTTGCAACATAGCATATTTTATGTTTATAATAACACTTATGATACCAATTTTACTACACCAACTGGCAAAACGTGAAAAATTTGGGGCTCTGGACTATTATTTTTGGTTTGTTTAATGTATTTTTGCACCACATTCTCTATAACTAGACACACTTTTTCTTGCAGAGTAAATATGCCAATCCTGAGCTGAACCACCCATGTTCAGCTTAAATTTGGTAGCTAAATGTTTGAAATGTTTCAAAGGGGTTTAACATTTTAGCTTTAAAAATGATAATTAGTTTGTTTTCAAAAAAATTTATTGTTACTGCAAGCTTATCTCTCACCTGAGATCAAATGTTCATGTATTGCTCTATTACATTGCATTTATGTTGGGAAATCTGAAAGGACATTGATAATCATTCAAGCTTAAGAAAGGTGCAATAGAAACTGTACAAAAATGATCAAATCACTCAGGCACAATGGATAAATTTGAAAATTGTCTCAAAATTCCTCATATCTAATGTATATTACCTCCCTTGGGAGTCACAGTTATTTCCCTTGAAATTTTATATTCTGATGATATTGGTTGATGATTTCCATATTGTCACAATTGCTGCAAAAAAAGATTTGTTTGTTTATTTTTTTGCTTTATACTGTGTATATTATTATTTTTGCTATTGTTTTAAAAAATTGTAAAAAGACTGAAATTTAAGTTATTAAATTTCATTAGTAGAGGTAGAATTGATTAATTTGTGTGCTTGTACACAAAATGTATTCCAGTCAGTCAGTTTCATGAAATGAAATGACCAAAATTGAATTATGTGTGCAGTAAAAAATTTAAACCATGACATTTTTTTAACATCACTAGTTTATGTAGTGCCTTACACAGTGTATGTCACAGTAGAAAAATTATGTTTCTTAGATAAAGATATACAATCTAATTGAAATCATTTTATGTACACATTTTTTTTCACATAGACAAGTTTTATGTTCATTGTAGACAAAGTTAAAAGGTCTTGTGCAAATTATTTTTTTTTGTAAGCGTATTTATTTTTCTAAATTTCACAAAGATAATCTAAATTAAAAAAATAAAAATTGATAATTTCAGAACGATTGCATTGCTTATCTTCCCTTGAAATTTCTGTTGATGGCATAAATTTGCTTTGGACAATTCCAAAAATATTATTAAATTCTTTTACAAAATTCAGTACTTAAAATTTAGCAATTAAACATGCTGTGTCTCTTGTACAGCTATGGCACACATTTTAGTGGTAGCAGTGTGGTAATTAAACATGCTGTGTCTCTCGTACAGCTATGGCACACATTTTAGTGGTAGCAGTGTGGGGTTTGTTATTCCTGCTTATGACACATTTTTGAGCTTCTTTCTCATTAAAATCATCACAACCTTTTGCAATAATAATAGCAAAAAATTCTGATTTCACAGTTGTCTGTTTATATTGTAATTGGATAATGACATGTTTTGTAGTGATTTTATTGTTAAAGTGGGAAAAAAACTTCCTTAATAAGGATTTTTTTCTTTTCATAATTTAATGAATTGATAATTTGGAACTATTGGAAATTTGATCATGTTTTGAACATAAAATCTGATTTTTGAATTAACAAATCCAGAATTTATTTGTGACTCTTATAAAAAAAAAGTTTACTTCAATTGTGGTTATGTTACAGTACATAGTCAGTTATTATTTTCCATATAAATTTGTTTATACTTTTTCATTTTGTTTTAAACTAATTTTTAACTTGTCATATATACTCTTTTTTTAACTGTAAATAAACTATTTTTAGTCTAAAATCATAAAATTTACTCCTCATAATATTTTGCTGCTGATTTCTCATCTAAGTAAAAGCTTACCTTTAATTTTGAAGAGTACAATGAAATGTTTGACCTTTACCCCCTTTTTTGGGGTTTTGTTTTGATACGACTGTTCTTTAGTAATCATCATACAAATTACTATATGATTATAATACAGTACACAGAAGGTGGATTCAGTCAAAAATCACCGTTGTTGGTGTTGATTGATTCACTTTGAAACAGCGTGATTGTTGGTGATTTGAGATGATAACACACTGATTTGCAAACAATAGCATAAATATTATGACTTAGAAACCATAGCATAAATATTACCCATGGAATATACAGAGATATTTTTTAAAGTGCATAATCCACAATCACCATAATTCACTGTGAAAATTCACCACCAAGAGTGATTTTTTAATTAAAGGCTGTTCCATTTGAACATACATGGTACCCAAGGAAGGTACTTTTAAAATGATGTACAATTTATAGAGTCAAATTTATAATTTCACTTTCATTTTTCACTGTACTTGACATCCATCTGTAGTGGATATTTCAAAATGCCTTCCTGGGTCCCATGTATGTTTTAATGGACCTGCTCTAACTCACCCTTTGTGTACTATAGTAGAGTTTTGTTCAGGTAGAATTCCCGTTTATACAGATTTCATTGTATCATAACAATTATCGTAAATTTTACAATCCCTCTTTTCAGAGGTTGTCTTTGCCTCAAGACGAGGTTGTAGTTTGTTTGCATTTCCTGACTGGCCATTGAAAATTTGATTTGAGTCATTTAAAAAAGTGGGAGGGGGAATTATAAAGAGAAATATAATGGAAACATGCAATATTAAACAATATGACTCAACTTTATTTTTGTCCTCAGTTAAGATCACCTAGTTCGACAAGGGACTATTCTATTAGAAATAGTTATTGAGCCTTATAAGGGAGGAATTACTATTTGACCTATATTTAAGATCAAAGACATTTTAATGTCTAGTCATATTGATATTTAAGTGCAATTATATAGTTTTCATTAATTTTTGTCTTAATCAGCAGATTTTATAAATATTCTGACAAGTTAATTGTACATATAACCATTGACAAATGAATTTAAGTCAATTTATTTTAAATATGGAATACATCATAGATAATGCACAATTATTTATTTAAATTAGCTAATAAGCATTTTGTAATATGCTTTGGTTTTTCATTAGAATTCATACAAAATGTCAGCATAGAGCTTTCACCTTTAGAAGGTGTAAATTATTTCCAGTCTGATTATTTTGAGACATAACAAAAGACCAATTTTGGTGTATATCCATTTTGTAAATGGGTCCAAAGGTCGGTTACCTGTGAATCACTGAATGTCTACTCGATTCTGTGAAATATGAAATGGAAACAGTCAGTCCACTGGTTCCTGTTAGTTGTTAATAAGAACAGGTAACTGCCAGCCATTTTTTTGTGTGAATAACAACCATGCAAAATTTTCCATATTTTAAAAAATTTATAGCTAAATAATATGTTGTCAAAGTGCAATATAGCATAACTTTCATCCACCCATAGGAATTGCTTCATACTACATATTTTCTTGTATGCTCAATGCTTGAACATAAGAAAAAATTTTATGAACAAAACTTAACATGATTTTTCTCCCCTTTTGAATATGTTTTATAGATTTTTTTAGGCAAATACATATAAAGGTTGTGGCACATCTGCTGAGTTCAAGCTTTGCCACCAATATGCTTTCTCAGATAATGAAACAGGTTAAAATCAAGTTTATATCTTTCCTACCTCATTAGGCTGTTGTTCATTTAACTTGCACTGCCTTGTAACAGTGTATTGTCAAATATCTCATATTAATTTACAAACATACCATACATCCAGTATACCTGATGTGAATTGGAGAATTTCTATGGAATGAGAACTATTCACTTACCAAAATGGATTTGAAATTGCTATAAAGTAGGACATTTAAAGTGCCTTCAGAATATACTTGCACTATGCTCAACTTGGCCAGTAAGAGAAGACTTGCTGGAATTCATTTTATTATTGAATGATATTATGGTACAGACAATTATTTGGTTTGCTGTATAAAAAATAATATTGTACTATAGATGCATGACAACTTCTTTAATCAATTGATAAAAACATTTATGGATAGCAAAATTTGCTTATAATTGGTGTGTATTTTTTTTGTTTTTGTTTTTTAAACTAAATCGATATCAGAATGAAAGCATTATGTTGCTGAAAAATTGTAACATAGCTAGATTTGAATCAGAATTTTGGAATCAGAAAGTACATGTGTAATATTTAACCTAAAATAAGGTGAATTCCAGTAAGTTTTTACGGTAATACAGGTGTTATAAGCTAATGACAAACTTCACAAACTTTTGATCTCTCCAATAAAGGTACATTTTGATAAAAATTATTAATAACTAATGTATGGTCTTATCTCACATAATATCTATTTTGTTTTTATAAAAAAAAAGTTTTGTATTAGTCATTTATGTTTATCATCTATTTTGTATTTCTACAGCAGATACTTTAAATGTGTTACAACGTTTTCTTGCAACTGTCACAGTCAGTTCAATTATAAAATTTACTGATGGTATTTAGACAATTGTAAGATATTGAAATCCAATGATACAGCTTGATTCAGATAAACTTACTTAAAATTTTCTAAACAACTTTGTTTCTCAACCCTTTGAATTTTTAAAAGTTTTTAACCTTCAAATTTTTTTTAGTAGAATTGACCAGTTGCAATGAAAAGGTTAAAACAAGAAGTGTTTCTGGAGTAAGCATCACCTTCAATTGCCTGTAAAATGTGATGTCATGGTAAACTTGCATTTTGTATCATGTTTGTGTTTTTTAAAATAAGTATTTAATGAGTTTGCATATAAATGGTCTGAAAATATGTAATTAATGTTCATAACTTAATGAATTGATTGTCTAAATTTTATCAGAATTTCACATCAGTTAGATAAAGTTACAAAAAAGTCTTTTTTACTATATTGACAATTTTCATTGTGTAATTGGAAGTGGTGCTTGAAATACATAATTAAATCTCAAAGAGTCAACATTAACATATCTTTAATTTTGTGTACACATGCTTTAATATTATGTATAATACTATAATGCACTGTAACTTCCATTATTATTATAAAAACATACTAGTAATTGAACAGTAAAATAAGAAATGTGATATTTTTTGTGATGAATTTATATTATAACATTACCAAATAAGCTATGACCCATGCTATTTGAATAGTGCTAGAACTTAATTTAAGGGAGGTAAATCTGGGTAAAGAGAGAACTTTATCACTTATGCGTTTGTAATAGTCTCTTTCATCTATGATATTTAAGCATTCTTTGAAACTATCAGTTTAAATGTTTCAACCAACCAAGTCCTTTTCTTCTATCAAAGATTAGTAATTTTTTTATCACAGACCTCTTGATTGTCAGTTGGAAATATCCTGATTGGGCATCTTAGTTTTCTGGCATTACTTCCAATTGTTAGATAGAATCTTGATTCTAAAAACTGATGCAGTATTTTTTGAAGGTTGGTGAAAGTGGCGTTAAACACCAGCAATCAACCAATCAATGTATTTTTTGTCTACATCTAGACAGAATGTTTTGAAATTTGGCTCAAATCCTGAGCTCTAAAAGAAAGGCTTCAATTTGATGTTTGGTGCCTGCTCATCCAAAACTAAATTTTTATTGTTTGGGATCTGTTATAGCAAGATTGTCCTATTTAAGCTTTTAGGACTTGGATCACTAAAATTACCACATTTTAGAATTATTTTTAACACTGGTTAGAATGTTAGAAAACAGTTACAAATAGTATATGAATCCCCAAGAAATTTGATTTCCAAATGAGAAAACAGTATTGGAAAACAAAATACTTCAAAAAATTTTAAAGATATTTACAAGAAAATGCAACTTACTGATTTTGAAGAGAGCTCAAGTGTAAATAGTCCATGCTCGGAAAACTAGCCAAAAAATTATGCAGGGTCATATCACAAAACAAGCAAACTCAGGGTGAAACAACATCAAAATGGTAGATTTTATAATGCCATCTAAAGTACATGTCATGTGTGTCAACGTTGCCAGTATTGTCATCAACATCGTCATCCACATTATCAACGTTGTTACCTATATCATACATACCGGTAAATCACGTGTGTGCATGTAATTTTGTGAATCAATATGTGTGTTTTGATAATATTTATGTGGACATTTATAGTGATCTTAAGAATTGTAGCAAAAATGTCATGAATGAAATATTTACATCGTATATTATTGCTATAGAAATGTTATACACAGTAGCCAAATATGTGTGCTGTGTTGGATAGAAGTTGATATTATGTGTTAATATTATTAGGACATGTTTTCATTTCTTTGAAGAAAAGATAAAATCTTGAAAATTATGTGAAAAAAAAAGAAAATTAAGAAATGAAGCCAACAAATTTCTGTATCATCTTTTGACCACAGCATCAGGAGCTATTTTCAAAGATATTCTTGAAAGTCATGAACAGTTCATTAAAACCTTGAAGAGCTGTAATATTCATAAGATTGATATCACATTTCTAAGCTGAAATTTTACATATTTAAAGTGATGATATTTATTGTTTACAGTTGTGATTTGGTGTTTTTGCACATAACAAACAACTGTTTACAGAAGATAGGATGATGTTTTATTTTATGTCAAGTTCTATCCAGCACTGTCAGTTTACACCATGTTTGAAAATACCATTGACAATTAAGATCAACATGACTTGATTGTACTATTGGCAACATGTTTGTACTTTTCACAAAGTTTTGAGAACAAGCTTCTATTTGTATTTATTGTGAGGTCAATCAATTAGACAATAGATGCTCTCCTTTGTGACTTCAGGGACGATTTGATGAAATGATTATGACACTCACTGATAGCTTTGGTGAAATTATTACCACACTCACACTGATCTGAAATTCATCAAATGATTACATTTCAATGGTATTTTTAGATGCAATATAAGAGCCCGGTAATTATGTTCATTTTACACATGGCGAGAAAAAGTGGTAGTGATTATTACATAATGTATATATTTTCCATTTGGAGTGAAGAGTTCAAGTGTTTTGCTATTTTCCATTAGTCTGAAGTTTAAATGTGAACCCTTAGATGCATGATAAAATTATGAAGAAAATACATTGTATATACAAAAAAGTAAATGATGTAAAATTGAAAATATGAATTTAAAGTGGAGTACGGTTTAGTTCTATTTTTCACTGATTGCAATGCAAATTAAGTAAAATGAACCAAATGAAGTGTGACACAGAAATTAATTATGTGTTTAATTAGAATGTAAGTCAGGGTTTCTATGTATCTACCAGGCAGTGCTTACATTTGTGTGAATGCTAATTAATAATTACAATTGTACATATATACAATATTTATTGACAACAATTTTGACTATTTATTTTTTAATATTACGAAGCTCAAGCTAATGGTAGATATTTTGTATTATATAGACATATACAATTAGTGCAAAACTTTGACATTGAATGAAGCAGCGATAAACAGTATTTATTTAGCTGCAATAGATTGATGTCATATACCGGTACACAAATATCAAAAAAGATCTGATTTCTTATTTCATGTAACAGTAATTTTTTTGTGATTTTTCTTATATTTAAGAAAAAATGAGTTGAAAGGATTAATTTCTTTTGACAACAATATCAAAGCGACAATACTGCAGTAAATCTTAGATACACAACTGATGTATAATTTATAGTTTGATAACTAGACTATTGACTATTTGGCACTTGTTTGACTTTGAATAGCTGTGAATGATTGAAAATTCTGTACAAAGTATGTAATAAAACAGTTATTAAATGTTATATACACATGAGATATTAGAGCTTGTTACGATTGGGGTGAAATGACTGGGAGTTCAAGTAAAATTTCAGAGTCATTATCATATAAATGATGTGTTGAACTGAGCCAGTGAAATGTCATGATGAGAAATCTAAGAGCTTAAAGAATGTTTTTTGTGTAGAGACAAGATCTACTTCTTGGCAAATAATCTATTTCCAATTACGAATTATTCTATGTTACCTTTTTTTTTCTTGTTTATTTAAGTTGCTATCCAGTTTTGTGAAAAAGTGCAATGCATTTAAATCCATATACTTGTCTAGATTATCTTGCCCTGTTTTGTAAAAAAAATTACAAATTCATACATAGGTTTTAAGAAATTTTTGTGGAGTTGTTAATATTTTCAAACTTCAAATACCTTAAATTTTGATCTGCTTAGACTTCATGCTTCTCAGATCAGCACTTTCACATCAGGGCTATTCCATTAAAATGTATGTAGGAGGGTAGGAAGGGACTTTCAAAATATCCCTACAACCAAGAACCATTTTTTTAGATAATTTTGCATAATGGTAATAGACGCATACTGAAAAAAGACCCATGACCCACATTCAATAATTAAACTTTCCTTCCTACCCTCCCACATGCATTTTAATGGAATAGCCCTCATGATATTTTGATGTTTTTCTATTGTACAAGATTGATTGCTGTACAATATTATAACTTTGTTAATATTGTATTTAGTTTGTATATATAGGTAAAATAAGGCTGTGTGAAGTTTTTGCTGTTGTCTGTTGTTAGGTATTTTGTTAAGTAGGTCACAGCAATCAAATTTTATTCAGTCAGCTTGTTAGTTATTATCTTTTCACTAAAGTATTCCTAGTTCAATGATCTGATTGGTTTTGTTTGTTGTTGATTGAACAAATTTGTTTTTTGGATTATTCTCTTATTTTATTTCAAAATTACTTTTTGGTAAAACATTTATATGGTGCTTCTGATTTGTAGAATTCTATATTGTAGATGTAATCTTTAAGAAATCTGTCAGAGCAGATTTTTTTTATCTGTTCTTATCAAAAGCTCTTCTTAGTCAATTTAAGTAGATGATAAAGGCTTGAAAGCCAAGTCAAATTTAGAACATTTACTGAGAATACTTTTTAAAGTGAATTTATCCGTAAAATTGATGTGTACAATTTTAATATTCTCTGACTTGGCTTTTGTGCATCAGTTTCATCGAGATAATTGGGTAATAAGAGCATAAATTATTAAGTTTTTGATATATTTATTACATTTTCTGTTTGTGACCATTGCAAAGGTAAATTCTAGTGTCAGAGGCATTTCATGTGGTTGTTTTTCTTGATAAGCTTTAAATTCAAAAGATATATTTCTGTTGTAAAGTTTGAGAGAAAGTTGTAAGATATAATTTTTAGAAGCTTTGACAAGTTTAAATGTTATGATTATTTGTTTTTGAAATGTTTTAAACTGTTGCTTAGAAACAATATGGAGTTATACATAGGAAAAAAAGAATTGTATGTTGTATAAATTATCACAAGATATTTTGTGTTATGGTTAACTATTCTTGATATTTATATATTTTGTTGTCCTCCCTTTATATGGGAAATTTAATTTTTGAATTTTGATTCACTTTGTAGTGTATACTGTTGGGGGAAGGGAGGGAGGGGTTCTGAAGCATCATTTACTGCTGTTTTAGGGTGTCAGAAATGCTGAATTTGACTAATCAAGTTACATTTTGAAATGAGTTGCTCCCCTTTTAATAGAGAGTAGGGCTGATTCCCTTCAGTGTTAAGCTACAGTAAAAGTAAATTTTGAAGTTATTTCTAACCTTTAAATACAAGCCTTCCCAAACTTCTTTTATTTAAATGGATTACACGTTTGACCAAGGGATTTATATATACCAAACATTTTATGCCCGTCAACTGGCAATAATAAGGGAATTACATCTGTTCAATGATAATTTTATACATTCGAAACATGATTCACTGTATTAACAATGAAAAAAAGTCACTGTCTAAGAATCACTGTCTTTACATCTCTGCAAATTTGACCTTTTCTAATTCTCTAATCTTTTCTTTGTTTTTGCTGAAATACACTGTGGTGTATTGGTTTAAATTTATTTTTGAATTGAAAATCTGATTAAAGGATTGAATTTAACTTAGTTTAAATTTATATCTTAGAAGTTCGAACCTACATAAAAGAAACATGGGTATTTTTTTAAGACATTTGATGCTTGTACATGTTTTCAGAAATCTATTTACTAAATAGGTCTTTTTTTTTGTACAGATAGGCAATTTAAATTTAGATTATATACATCTTTCTTACAGTCTCCAGTAAACCAAAGGTGTTTTTAAGGACCTTTGCTGTATTAAGGTCACCAGATACTATAACTTTTATGTTGGGTTATAGACTTTTGTACAGGTTTTGATAGACCATTTTATGTATATTTAAAACTATTTTCTTTCTGTGTCTCCAGTAGACCATAAATTTAAGGGTATGTATTGTGTATGGTCCTCAGTGGACCATACGGTCTCCTATAGACCTCTAAGGGTTAATTGCTTTGTATAGAATGCTGATGAATGTGTAAATGGGTGTTGTCTATATTTATTATCATCTCATCTCTCATTTCATCGTTCTTCTTTTTAGATTGTAATTTAGATGGTTTTGTATAAAAATAAATGAAATTTAAATATGAACATTGTTGTTTTATAACATGCATTAATGATCTGTCTCAAGAAATAGGTCTCAATCTATGTTTATCCTTCCAATATGTTTGGAGATCTATCCTGGTTTAGATGGGAGTTTATATTAATTGCTGTTTGTCTACCAGTTTCTTGGCATGTAACTGTTTTGTTAAGGTTCTGTCCTCAAGGTATAATTTTGATTCTCCTTTAGAGCTAATTTCCTAATGCTTGTACAGTAAGACTTTGGTTGGCTTTCTTGCTTGCTTTGTTTGTATAAATGTTTGATTAAGCATTGTAATTAAGATTGACATCTTTAAACAATATAAATAGGCGGAATTAAACCTGTATACATTTATATTTAGATTCTTAACCTCCAGGATTACATCCAGTCAAATTGAAGTATAATGTATACAGGTTTAAACAAAGCAAGCAAGAAACCCAAATTAGTCTTGCTCTACAAGCATTAGGAAATTAGCTCTAACTAAATGGGTCAATAAAAAACGTCTAAGAAAGACGTGACAACACCATGGCCATAGGAAACTAGCTGTGTTGGAATGTCGCAAATGGCCCCTGCTTGCAAAAATAGATTGAATCCATTTTTAGGAGTGGAAATTTGAGAATGAAAGTATAACTGTTATTTTCAAGATTTTTTTAAAAATCAGCTCAATATGTGAAGGCGCTTAGAAAAGAGGTCGGTATAACTGTTATTTCCACAAAATTTTCAAAGTCCAAAGCTCTTGATTTCGGCAAAAAAAAGCAGAGCAGAACCAAACGTGAACTCAATCTTTAACTCATCATAGACTCACATACTAATGATCAGATCAATATGTGAAGGCTTTTAGAAAAAAAGTCTATAACTGTTATTTTCACATAGTTTTTAAGAGTTCAAAACCCTAGTTTTTATACGACTGCAAAAAATTTTTGCGGTCGTATATTGGTATGACGTTGGCATCGTCGTCGTCGTCCAAAGACACATTGGTTTTCGCACTCTAACTTTAGTTTAAGTGAATGGATCTCTTTGAAATTTTACCATAAGGTTCAATACCACAAAAGAAAGGTGGGGATTGATTTTGGGGGTTATGGTACCAACAGTTAAGGAATTAGGGGCCAAAAATAAGCATTTTCTAGTTTCCAGACAATAACTGTGGAACGGTGTATGGATCTCTCTGAAATTATACTACAAGTTTCCATACCACAAAGGGATGGTTAGGATTTGCCTTGGGGGGTTATGGCTCAAACGGTTTAGGAATTAGGGGCAAAAAAGGGGGAAAAACAAGGTTGTCCTGGTTAATTGACAAATACTTTAGTACAAAACATAATTTAAAGCAGTGTAAGGGAGATAAATCAAATACATCATTGAAATTATCTCCCTTACATTGCTTTTAAATTATGTATAAAGTAATGGTTAATGAACAATTAAGATAATTAAAACAGTGAAAGGGAGGTAATCCAAATACAACGTTTTGGTTACTTCCCTTACACTGCTTTTAAATTATGTTTAAAGAAATTCACATTTATAAAGGAAGACCAGTAAAAATATCTGCAAATGTTGCATCTTTTTTTTTTACAAAAAAATCCATATGAAAGATTTGACACTATATTTTAAATTCTATTATAAAATAGATTAAGTTAGCACTATGGTAAATTTAAATGGGTAATTATGGTTGCAAACTCCAATGGAAATTTGAATTGAGATTATGACCATATCTTGAGGGAAAGAATTTTTTGGGGAAAAAAAGGGGGGGGGGGGGTAAAAAGAAATTGTGGGGGGTCAATTTTTTCTCATTTCAGATTTCAGAAATTAAAAAGAATTATTCTTCAAATATTATTTTTTTTTCAAATTTCAAATATTGAAAAATTTCAAGAAGTAATCTTTAATTGCACAGTATGGCGCATTAGATTTGTAAAATCTTTGACCACATTTATTTATTTGTTATGCCGAATATAACCATGATAACCGTGTATTTAGAATTTTAATTTTGGGTCCAGTTTTTAAATTGGTCTACATTAAGGTCCAAAGGGTCCAAAATTAAACTTTGTTTGATTTTAACAAAAAATGAATATATGGGGTTCTTTGATATGCTGAGTCTAAACATGTATTTAGATTTTTGATTTTTGGCGCAGTTTTCAAGTTGGTCCAAATTGGGGTCCAAAATTAAACTTTGTTTGATTTCAACAAAAATTGAATATATGGGGTTCTTTGATATGCTGAATCTAACCATGTATTTAGATTTTTTATTTGTGGGCCCGCTATCAAATTGGTTCATATTGAGGTCAAAAGGGTCCAAAATTAAACTTTGTTTGATTTCATCAAAAATTGAATTATTGGGGTTCTTTGATATGCCAAATCTAACCGTGTATTTAGATTTTTAATTTTGGGTCCTGTTTTTTAAATTGGTCTACATTAAGGTCCAAAGGGTCCAAAATTAAACTTAGTTTGATTTTAACAAAAATTGAATTCTTGGGGTTCTTTGATATGCTGAATCTAAACATGTGTTTAGATTTTTGATTATGGGCCCAGTTTTCAAGTTGGTCCAAGTTGGGGTCCAAAATTAAACTTTGTTTGATTTCATCAAAAATTGAATTATTGGGGTTCTTTGATATTCCAAATCTAACCGTGTATATAGATTTTTAATTTTGGGTCCCGTTTTTTAAATTGGTCTACATTAAGGTCCAAAGGGTCCAAAATTAAACTTAGTTTGATTTTAACAAAAATTGAATTCTTGGGGTTCTTTGATATGCTGAATCTAAACATGTGTTTAGATTTTTGATTATGGGCCCAGTTTTCAAATTTGTCCAAGTTAGGGTCCAAAATTAAACTTTGTTTGATTTCAACAAAAATTGAATATATGGGGTTCTTTGATATGCTGAATCTAACCATGTATTTTGATTTTGGACATTGGACCATAATAGGTAAATTAAAAAAAAAACAGTTCTTAGACCACATTCTTTCTGTGTAAGAAACCTATGCTGTGTCAAATAATTAATCACAATCCAAATTCAGAGCTGTATCAAGCTTGAATGTTGTGTCCATACTTGCCCCAACTGTTCAGGGTTCGACCTCTGCGGTCGTATCAAGCTGCGCCCAGCGGAGCATTTTATTGCAAAAGTCAGCAGATCTGTAAACTTGATCTGTAACTCATCATAGAAGACACACATACTAAAAATCAGCTCAGTATGTGAAGGTGTTTAGAAAAAAATCTGTAGAACTGTTCGTTGCGGAATGACAGAATGACGGAAAACGTAAAGCTATATGGCACTGACCACTTTGTGGCAGGGTCATAAAAAAGACAAGCAGATTAACAGTATTAAAAAATTACTTGAAGAAAGCTTAAGATTTAGCAATAAACACAAAAAAACTAAGGGATAACAGTTGTTTTGGAAGGGTAAGCAGTAACATGCATTGTCCATCTGTTCCTTTGCTAGCACTTAAAGCTTCCAGTCTTGTTAATGAAAATGTTTTCAACATGTTTGATTCAAAGATTTAAACTGCCTTAGAGGACTATAGTAGCATCCTCACCTTGAGCTTGGAAGGTAATTTGTTTGGTCATTGGCTTGGTCAATTTATGGTTAATATCTGATGACTCTTGGCCAAGCACTCATCATTTATAAGTAATGGCAAAGATTTGTAGACAATGAGTCAAGAGTAGGATGACGGGTCTTATTCAAGACTGAAAGCCTGTGAGCTATATAAAAATCAGGAGATGAGGTTTGATTGCCAATGAGACAACTATCCACCAAAGTTTTAAATAAAGTAGATGTAAGCAATTATAGGCAACCATACGGCCTTCAACAATGAGAAAAACCCATACCATATAGGTGGCTATAAAAGTCCCAGACATGAAAAATATGAAACAATTCAATTGAGAAAACTATAAAACTGACTCAGCATGTCAGATATAACAAACACGCAGAATTGTGAGCTATTGCTCACTAATAATATCCCCACTTTAAGTATTTGTTGAACAGGAAATTGAAGAGATATTATTCTGAAAATCTGGTAAAACATGTTCCCATGAAGCCTGATAACCCATTATACGGTAAAGCATGTTCCCTTGAAGCCTGATAACCCATTACACGGTAAACCATGTTACCATGAAGCCTGATAACCCATTACACGGTAAAGTATGTTCCCATGAAGCCTGATAACCCATTACACGGTAAAGTATGTACCCATGAAGCCTGATAACCCATTACACGGTAAATTATGTTCCCATGAAGCCTGATAACCCATTACACGGTAAAGCATGTTCCCATGAAGCCTTGATAACCCATTACAAGGTAAAGTATGTTCCCATGAAGCCTGATAACCCATTACACGGTAAATTATGTTCCCATGAAGCCTGATAACCCATTACACGGTAAAGTATGTTCCCATGAAGCCTTGATAACCCATTACAAGGTAAAGTATGTTCCCATGAAGCCTGATAACCCATTACACGGTAAATTATGTTCCCATGAAGCCTGATAACCCATTACACGGTAAAGTATGTTCCCATGAAGCCTTGATAACCCATTACAAGGTAAACCATGTTCCGATGAAGCCTGATAGCCCATTACACGGTAAAGTATGTTCCCATGAAGCCTGACAACCCATTACACGGTAAAGTATGTTCTCATGAAGCCTGATAACCCATTACACGGTAAATTATGTTCCCATGAAGCCTGATAACCCATTACACGGTAAAATATGTTCCCATGAAGCCTGATAACCCACTACACGGTAAAGTATGTTCCCATGAAGCCTGATAACCCATTACAAGGTAAAATATGTTCCCATGAAGCCTGATAACCCATTACACGGTAAAGTATGCTCCCATGAAGCCTGAAAACACATTACACGACGGTAAACCATGTTCCCATGAAGCCTGATAACCCATTACACGGTAACCCAAGTTCCCATGAAGCCTGATAACCCATTACACGGTAAACCATGTTCCCATGAAGCCTGATAACCCATTACACGGTAAACCATGTTCCCATGAAGCCTGATAACACATTAAACGGTTAACCATGTTTCCATGAATCCTGATAACCCATTACACGGTAAAGCATGTTCCCATGAAGCCTAATAACAAATTTCAGGAAGGTTTTATTTGTACATGTAGTACTAAAGGAAAATGTGACGAAAAATTTCATTAATAGCCTGTCTGTTACTATAATATTCAAGAACTGGGTAAGCAGCAAGTTGATTGATGAATCTTAAACCGTGTCACACAATACAGCATGCTGCAATGAAGCCATATAACAAATATCATGCAACTCTTACTTGTAGTTTCTGTGAAAAATAGGATGAACAGACAAGTGTAAAACAGAAAACTCCTGCTTTGAATCTAATAAAAAAAACCCAACTAACATGAGTGCAGAGTGTCCATGCTAAAAGACTAAAATAAATCCTGAATTTAAATTAAATTTGTTCCAGTCCTGGATCGAAATGCCAGTCCAATTCACGAAAATGGAGAATAACCAGGAAAACTTTGGATTTATCATATTCTGAAGCTTGTTATCATTCTGAGCTATTTTCCTTTCCCAATTTCAGGTCCTATTCAGTATTACTGTGCAATGTATTTACAGGCTTGATATTTTTTGTGCCAATGATTACAGCAATGATATTTTGGTCTTTGGAGTGTTTATAAGAAAGGCATTTTGTTTGTAATTGTTGCCATCTTTAATGACTTACATATATATACCGGTATGCATTCAATGTAACTTGTGGATTTTACCTCACATTGTACACTCTATGTATCATCTCTTTCAATTAGAACAAACAAGTTGCATGTGTTGTCATGATAAGCAGATAGACAAGTTCATTGCAATGTAGACTCAATCTGGGAGAACATGAATTATTAGTTGAAATTGCCTTTGAACTAGCTTTCAAACATGTTTAACATCGCTGTATTCTTTATGTGCTTCTCCAAAGTCTGGAGCCTGAAGTACAGTGGTTGTCGTTGTATCATGTCGGTCATATTTGTTTTTTTAAAAATCAGACTGTAATTTCTTGTTTGAATTATTTCACATTTACCATGTTGGGGCCTTTATAGCAGACGATACAGTATATGTTTTTCTCATTGTTGAAGGCCATTCAGTGGCCTATAATTGCTTACTACCACTTCATTTTAACTCTAGTGGATAATTGTCTGATTGACAATCATACTACATCTCCTCATTTTTGTTGAGCCTGCCACTTTTGTCGCAGAAAGCTTGACATAGGGATAGTGATTTGGCAGCAGAGGCGCTAACTAACTACTTAACAGCTTAACATTTCAGAAGGTGGATGTTTAATACTTTGTACATAGATACCTTATGTTATGAAGTTTCCATCTGTCATATGTCCTTTGTCCTTGACCCCATTTTCATTGTTCAGTGACTACTTGAAAAAAAATGTTAACTTCTCTCTTATTAAGAGTAATAGGATAACTGTCAGGCAAGTTTCACTTGACCTCGACCTCATTTCATGGATCAGTGAACAAGGTTCAGTTTTCATCCATATCTCAGATACTATAAGCAATAGGTCTACTATATTTGGTGTATGGAATGATTGTAAATGTGTACATGTCCAACTGGCAGGTGTCATCTCACTTTGACCTCATTTTCATGGTTCAGCGGTTAAAATTAAGTTTTTTGTGTTTTTGGCTATTTTTCTGATACTTTGTGCAATAGGTCAGCTATATTTGGTGTATGGAAATATTTTATGATGTACATGACAGTCTGGCAGGTTTTATTTGACCATGACCTCATTTTCACAGTTCATTGCTCAATGTTAAGTTTTTGTTTTTTGGTCTGTTTTTCTTAAACTATGAGCAATAGGTCAACTATGTTTGATGTTTGGTGTATGGAATGATTGTAAAGTGTACATGTCTGTCTGGCAGGGTTCATCTGACATTGACCTTATATTCATGGTTCATTGGTCAATAAAAAAACATAAATATATAGATTATCTGTATTTCAACAAAAGTATAACATCACATACATGTACATATTTTTAAATTTATAGACATAAATCATAAAAATATGATTTTTTAAAATATATTATTGTGTTTGACATAAAGCATGTTAGAATTGTTCAGACAGATTTGTTAAATTATGCTATACCTGTAACCATGGTTTTCACACACAGTTTTAGGATCTTGATTAAAATAAAATAAAGGAAAACAAATTTAGTTTTGTAAATCATATTTCTGTATTTCTAAGTTTTTAGACAAAGATAAAAATTTTAGAAGTGTTAAGGAAGGACATATTTTACATCGATGTTATAGTAAAATAACTTTTATTTTTGGTATACAAACATATGTAAGGCCTTAATATTTTAGGATGTAAATATATGATAGGATCGTAACATTAAAACACCTAGAAATCAAATTGTGACCAAATTTTGTATATTTAATGGTTAATCAAGCCAAAGATTTTCAATATTTAGCAAAATAAATCTTATACATTTAAGTGCCAATCTGTCTAAGAATCAGGCAGTGATGAAAACATGACAAACAAAAACTCACTCAAGTTGACATTAATTTATGTTCAACATGTATAATGATGCACGAATATAACATTCGTTTCCTTTTCCTGTTCTGGTAATTCAAGATATAATTTGGTTGAAATGCACTAGAAATTAACCATTAAGGGGATCTAACTCCGTAATTTGCTATCATTCTAACCAAAAGTTATCTTGAGATTTCTCGAATAACCAGACTCGAAAATGAAAGACCTACCATTTCTAACTCAGGATGAGGGTAACTTCAAAATAGGATGGTTAGGTCGGTGGTTTTTGCCGGCCATGTTTTGATTTTTTTTTAAATTGCCTGATTCTTTCAAAGACTGGCACTAAGTATAAGGTTTCAAAACTTTATAGTTCAAAGTTTTACCTTAAAGTATTTTTCTATGCAGTACAAAAATTGGAATCCATAAATACAAATTGTTTTTAATTGGACGGAAGTTGTATAATAGGCACAAAAAATGAAAACAAGAAACAAAAATATCACAGTCATTGCTTACAAAACATGCTCACCAGTTATGTTATAAAATAAAAATGCACTCATATAAAGCAACAAAATATTGTCAAAAATGCATTTCCAATTTCAGTATAAAAAACATCAGAAAATAGAAATATATGAAGAGAAGAAAAATGATAAAAAAATATGAAACTTCCAAACAAGTTTTATTCATTTTCAGATATGAAATTTCAACATTGCTTTTATAGAGATGACTTTTGCATTACAGCAGACATCATAAATATGTTGACCAAGTTACTTCAATTGTTACAAAAGGCTTTTATTTAATACTGACCCTGTTTTGAAAAACATTGATAAATCCAAGTTAAAAGTCACCTGAATGAAGCTGTTTCTCTTGTGCATTCATAATTTCGATTTCTTTATACTTCATTAACAATCTGAATTGATCTGATCAATTGCTTGAAAATTGGTTAACAGATAAATTGTTCTCATTGTATTGGTAATATTAAAAAAATCTACCGTGGATTAATTTATTTTTGTGGATTAAACATGCATTTTTGAGGATACTTAATTTCATGGTTTTGTCAAAGTCTGCATACAAGCCTATAGAAATTTGGTATATTATTGAAAATTTTAATTTGTAGTTCTCATATAGGCCCCTACTCACGAAATCCACAAAAATTGATACCCCACAGGTAATAATAGTACTGCAAGATTACTTATATATCCAAAGTTAAAATATACATTCAATTCAGAAATTTCAAGCTTTTGCTGATAATGCTTAAACCTACATATTTTTTAATGACATTTATCATAGCTAACAACTTAACTGTATCAGTACATGTATTTTGGAATGCATCTTTTTTTTTAGGAATGTTTAGGTTATCCTAGCATGTGCAAACAGACTTATTCTTTCCATTATTTTTCTTTTCAAACTGTTTAAGAAATAAAACAAGAATGTGTATAAGGACACAAATGCCCTCGCTCAAGCTTCAAACAAACGAAAATGGGACAGACGGACGGTCAAGGGTAACACTTTACGCCCCTGTCACTTACATTGGGTCATAAAAAGCTTATAAGAAACTAATATACTATACTGTATTGGAATACAGTTATGTACCACAATATCTTTCATATTGCATAGAATTACAACAATACTAGAAAAAAAAGAATGAATTTCAACAGGAAATGATCTTTAACCATTCACTGTAACCCTGGTTTGAATCAAAAACTTGATATCTCTTCAGAAATTTAAAACAGTTCGAAATATCCTCTAACAAATATCATAATCACATGATGTATTGTTATTAAAGTCACATGATCCAATATAAATGTCACATGACTCATTCCATTTCCATTTCCATTTCTGCATCTAATTCATGTGGATCACGTAAACTGTGAATTTGACTTTGGTTTGAGTTCATTCCTGACGACACTTTATCCTGTTGCGGTGCTGATTGACCACGGGAGGCATTAGTAATTGTTGGTACAGGTGTATGGGGGACAACTCCATGCACATTTGCAACTGGTTCCTGCTGTTGAATATATTTCTCCATTAACCAAGCTTGGCCTCGACTTGAAAAGTTTCTACTCAGTTCAAATAAGTTAACCACAGACATTCTCTGTGAATCAGTTAAGGAAAAGTTTTATTCAGGAGGACACAGTACTATGTAGATTTAAAGCTTATCTTTTCAGTATCTGTGTCACATCTTAAAACTGTAAATTAAGAAATTATTGCGAGGTTTTTATTATTGCGAATAATGCAACTGGTTAAGTTTCACAATAATAAGAACTCGCATTAAGACATTTGATACATATATCTAATAAATGGGCAAGACTGTTTTTTCCAAGTTAAATAACCAAACACTATATGTAAAATGGTCATATAGTCTCAAATATGTGAAGTTAGGTCCAAAGTTAAGTTATTTAAAATATCGGGTAAAATATATTTAGGTACAAAATGATGTCTCAACTGTTGCACCCCTTTTCCAAAAAATGATGAAATTATATCTAAGGCAGACAATTTTCTCATTCTACATGAAGGTTAACCAAATAATCTTTGAACAGGATTTCCTAATGATATAATTGGTATCTTAATGTAATTGTTATAATATTTAAGGATACACTTTTGGTAGGTAGTGGTGGTAGCTGGAACATAGAAGGTGGTTGTGATAACCTCAAATCAGTTGACCCTGAAAAAGATCAAACATCATTTCTATAATCTAATAATCAGTCATTTTTGTCTAGGTCAGATACAGCTGCTGGTTAGGATTTTTATAAACTATATAACATTTGTGACTTTTAGTTGAAATTAAACATATAATTGACAAATATTTATGCTCTCTGCATGTTAAGAACCCTTGCAACAACTCTTTGAGGGGTCTGTAGGTTGTCTGTTGCAAGGCAACATTTCTGTTCCTATCCAATTTACACTCATTTTCCAGTGGCAGTCCAAATTTCCCTGACCTTCAGTTTTATTTATTGATAATTTGTTCTCATCCTTAACAAGCATGAAATATTTGCCACTGGATGTTAAGCAACCAACAATCAATCAATCAAGATTAAATGGGGTTACCATAGTTGACAACTAGTAAGATTATAAAAAAAAAAAAAAAAAAAAAACACACACACACACATAGGATAATGGTATACATTTGAAAGTCATTGAACTTCAAAATCACTAATTTCAACTTTGAAAACTGCACGACAATCTCAAAGTATAGATTCTCCATAGTGATCATAAACACACACCTTTGATGATACAGCACATATATAGCCATAATACATGTCCAAAAATTTGATTAGATTTAAATTGAATAGGATTAAAAACACGCTTTATTTTACATGTGCACTGCTAACATTGGTGACTTGGCCATGGCTCTCCTAGGATGTTTGGTAAAATTTCTTACTTACAAGATGGACGATTTGCAATTGTGTCAAATTTTTTAATTCTTAATGAATTTCAACAGGTTTAGTGAAACACAGACAGCTTAAAAAGAAATACAAAATTTACCTGTAGCGTGGAAATACTGATGAGCTCTTGGATTAAATATTGTTCCTGTTTTAAATGGCATAAATAACGCTGGTAAACTGACATCTGAAATTAAAAAAGAATACATGATCTTTAACATTTCATTTGGTTTACATTGACATATATATGGAGAATGTGTCCATCGGACAGAAATGATGACATGGTAAAAGTGACACATCCCAAATTCAAAGTTGATCTGTTTTTTTTGTGGCTACAAGCATTGTGAATAAGTTTCATAACATTTGGTAGAGGTCAACTAAAGTTAGAGAACAGAAACTAATTTTGGGACATACAGACGGACGAATGGATAGACAAGGGTAACACTTAATGCCCCCTCTAGTGCGGCAGGGGCATTTAAAACATAAAAAGAATGACCAAATGTATAAGATACCTGAGCAAACTATCAATCACAGTCAACAAATGTCAAAGGTAGAAAGCACAGGATAAGATTAATTATAAAGTATCAAGTATTATAACCTCTTTTTGCTGTAACATTTAATCATCTTGAAAAAATCTTTCAATCTTAACCATAAACTTCACCACATTATCTAACTATCGGTAGTTAAATTCACCCAAGATGGCAAAATTCAGATTTTTATAATTTACTAAATTATGAGTACCATTTTTTTTTACAATAAAAAAATATTCAACTTCACCAAATTCATTTTCATCTCCAAATCTTAGCAAAGACAATGATATTTAATAAATTTTAAGACCTTCTCCTACCTTCTATCTAAGGTCTAAAATATTTATTTCAATTATGACAATAGCTTGCTTACCTTTTAAAGCATCATAAATTTCTTCCTCATGTTTACTAAGTTTATGCTGACCAGCCAGTTTCTTTTCTAAATCATCTCTGATGGCCTTAGTTGTTTTTTCCATCATCTCCTTCTTATGTTTATTGCTTTCATCTTCAAAGAACTGGAGGCGCTCAAAGAACTGAAAAACAATGTGTCCATTAGTTACAGAATTTTTATTTTTTTTTAAATATTCTGAACTAGACTAAAATAAACATCTGAAGGTTAATATATTGTTTTCAACTATAGAAAGGTTTCTATTTTATGTGGCAAGGTTTAGTCTAGGCAAATTGTGAATAATTTTAACAAAACAATTAAAGATCTAAAATCCACACAAAAATCCCTAAAGGACAAAAAACATTGAACTTATACAACCTGAGGTTTCTGACATTTTTATGTGGCCATATTAAACTAGTTTCTGTAGACTAATCAAAAAGACACTTTGAATATGGATCAGAGGAGTTACAAAAGTTACACAGAAAAATATACAATAAAATCAGAAAAAATTTCAAGAAATATGACAGCAATACATCTTTGTTCTAAAATTGTTATAAAAGTTATGAAAGTGGAAGGGGAGATAACTGTACTTACATCTTCAGGGACTCCTGTAGCAATATGTTTCTCTGTTTGTTGTGAAGCTGGAGCTGAGGTTACCGTCTGTCTGGGAGCTATTGGTTTCAGTGTTTTACGAGGTCTATGAGGAGGTGGTGGATGAGGTTGAGATTGTTGTGGAATACGATCAACAGAATCTGATCTGTAAATCAATTTTTTTTTTTAAAAACATACATTCATATGCTATAGAGTAAAAGGGAATAACTAATATATTGAAGTGTAAAACAAAACAATAAATCCTTTGAATTAATCACTTGAAAACAAAATTTATGTTTTTATTTTTCAATGAAACAATAATATTTTCAATAACAAAATCTATCATTATCCAATTCAGTTTTCTGCCTTATATAGATGGTTTTTAAATAAATTATAATTGTAACTGTGTGATGACCATCAAATTATGTTTCCTATAATTACAAAAGTCATAAGCAGAGAGAGTGTTTTTGATTTTTCATTAACAAAAAACTACGATTAACTAACATTTCAACAAGTTTCTGAACTGGTGCTGGCTGTTCACGAGGAAGTACAGGACTCTCCTGTTTCTTCTCAGGGGAGGGAACTCTTGGAGACAATCTAGCAGGTGATTTAGGAGGAGGAACAGCATTTTGGTTCTGATTGGCTGATTTCCTTCCAGTACTTCCTGCAGATTTTCTACTCTCTGATGATACTGGTCGCTGATGTAACAGAGGTGGGCGTTGCTTCTGTTGTTTTTGTTGTTGTTCTAACTGTTGTTTCTGTTGTTCCTGAGTTTGTTGCATTTCATGCAAGTTTTCCATCAATGACTGCAATCTCTTTCTGTTATAAAATAAAAAGATATACAATTCAAATAACCTATCTATTATATAAGGCCAAAAAAAGTTTAAATGTGATGGTAAAAATTGTTCTGGAATAAAGAAAAATAATAACGAATTATTCTAACATAAACCAAATAATTTGATTCTGTGATTAAAAGTAATTTCACAGGATTTTTGTAATATCCAACTGAAAGTACCACTTAGACTAATGAGATATTGATTTTAATAAAATATATACTGTATGAAATAGAATTTGTACTCATTTTATAAATCGTTATCTTTTTAAAACTTTATAATTGACAGAATTATTGTCTACTGCTTTAATGTCCACAGCAAAAATTACATGCAATTTCAGGATCAACATTAAGTTTGAGACTTACTCATATTCTTGTTGCACAAGTTCTAATTCAGCATGATGTTTATGTACCAGATTTTCAACATCGGATTTCTTCACCATTTCCTTTAAAAGGAAAAACAGACAATAGAAAATAGACAATATTTATTTGTGCAAAAATATTTAGGGCTGTTCCATATATGATTGTGGTAGGGGAATGGTAGGAACTCTTAATTAATTATGGGTGGTTGCATTTTCCTTAGAATTTTGTAAGAATTATAAGTAAAATGAAGTTTATATTATGGGTGGTTGGGGTCTAAAAATGTGCCTTCCATGCCCCTCCCCTCATACATTTAATTTTGGAACAGTCCTTACATTAAAATGGTTCTTGCATGATCATAAAAGCAATAAAACTGACAATTGTATAATTATTTTGGAGTGACAGTGGGTTTCAATATGATTTTTTTTTAAATGACTACAAATCTTTGTGCATTCTTAGAATAATGATTAATATTCAGAAAATATAAGCATACTTAAAATTTAGACACATTTTTCCTAGTAAGAAAATCAATTACCGTATATCATGTTTTTTTCGCAATTTCATGACAAAATGTGCAGGGTAAATTTCCACTGTGTATAAGTTTCGCTGAATGGGAAAATACACGCGAAAATATAACTGTATCGCATTGTTAAAGATGAAAGTGACACAATATTGATTGACTGACAGGTAAAATCAAGCTTACAATCTGTACAATTTAGGGTGGAAATTTACTGTTTAATGTTTTCTATACACGACAAAATCATCGGAAAACAGTAAACTTTCCCCCCAATTTGCACAGATTATATGTTTGACTTTCCTTCTTTTGGTAGCTCTTACTTGACCGAGTACCGGGATGTCCTACCACAGATTAGGTTATCTGTCGAAAAATTATATAATCCAGAGTCAAAAGTCGGTAATAAGAAAATAGTCTATAGACAGGACAAAACAGATCATAATTCACCCCTTAATGGATATCTCATTATAATAATGAAATAACACATTGTCATAAGCTTACATATATGCACTACTTTGGAGTAGGAAGAATATTCAAGTGTAACTATTCTTACCTCTTTCGAAGGAGATCTCACAGGTGATTTGACTGGTGAAGGAGGCTTTTGAATTTCGGGTGTTTGAGGCTTTGGAGGTTCTGGTGTTTTTGGTTTAGGGGGCTCAGGAGTTTTAGGTTTGGGAGGTTCTGGTGTTCTTATCTCTGGTGAAAAAGAAATGGCAGACAATGCCTCATCAGTAAACTCTCTAAACATATCATCTCTCTTCCATGTTGTCAAGTCAATACCAGCAACTTCAAAAACAAGGTCATTGAAGGGCATTGTACCTAAAAATAAATTTAAATATATATTCATCTATTTTCTCTTAAAGACAGGAATTATATAAGAATAGATTTACTGAGAAATGGAAACAAATAACTAACTAAATGGGCTTATATTTCAGAAAAAGATATCTTTCAGCTATGTCCATCACATAAATAAAATCGTAGAACTGCTTGTACCTTTATGACATCATTTATGATACCTGTTGATAGAAGCTTTTGTATCTCAGCCTTCTATGAAAGTCACTAAAGCAAAAAAATACAATCAAGACATAGTTTTCACCATAATGTATGATCTCATTACTAATCTATATTAGTGATCCGATTATAGAACTTATCTTGTTGTGCATTATCAATACATTGTATTTCCAAACCAAGAGGTAAAGCCAGTATTACGTCTCCTGTTGATCTGACCAGACATTGCTCATGTGGACATCAAAAACCAATTGAAGTGTTGATTCTTTTTTAATTTTGCACCTTTTTATCTTTTTTTTTCTGAAAGTTTGTTGTAATGAAGCCCTTTCTTGCTACATGTATGTTGTTACTACAAGTATTTACTTTTTGTTGGTGTGTCTGTTTATTGAACATAGGAAATGAAAAATGAAGAGTTTGATCAAAGTTTACTCAACCCAAACTTACAATCATGTTCCACTGAGTTGAAGTAACGAAATCTACTGTCGGAAGAGTTACATACAATGTACATATTATTTGTCATGTGGACGTTTTTCACACACGTAAAAGATCACTGAAAAAATTTATATTTTTTATAAAAATTTCTGACAATAGATAAGTTTGAGTTGAGCAAAATTTCAACTAATGGGAATTCAACTCATATGGAGTAAACTAATATAAAGTATTGTGTTTAAATGTTGGAACTGCAGAAATATTTCAACTGAAGCAGAATTTCAAGTAAAACAAGTTCAAGACAACAACAGCGGACTGTAGTTAGAGAATTCACTGATCTGCTGCTATAAAAGGTATTGCATAATCAACTGTGGCATTCAAGTAAATCACCACAAATCATTATGTTTTCATCTAAAGAGTTGAGCAGCTTGAGCCTAAATCTGCTTCCCTATGTTATGACAGGGAACCATATATGAATGTTTCAAAGGCTGTTGAATAAAAAATATTCCATATGATCTCTGAAAACACTATAAATCATCAAATATATACTGTAAACCAACTTATTTTCGCGGATACTTTTTTCCGCGTTTAACCCTTTCTAGTCCACATTGCGGCTATTCAATTTCGTGATTCTCTAATTTACTTGATGTAGTTTAGTAAGGAAAGATCCAAGTTTTACATATTCACAATGATTTATATATGATTTATTTTTCTACTGGCGAAAGTTGCGAAAATAAATCGTTCGTGAAAATAAGTTTGTTTACAGTAAACTCTTCGTCAAGACAGACAACAAAGAATAATAATTACCTGCTTGTCGAACAAAAGTTCTTGGTTTGAATTTTTTGGCATAATAAAACGTAATTGGTATGAAACCACACGGTTCATGTTTTCCTCTCGTTTGATTCAGCGGGTAAACAGGGAAATCAAAGGATGCAAATTTAGCTGCTGGATCAGCTTCTTTCTTTTCGTCTTTAACTCCATCTGCAGATTTGTCACCTAACATAAGATCAATATCTTCTGATATTGATTCAACTTCACTGTCACGTGGTGTATGGGGGGCATCATCATCTCCGTGGGGTTCTGGCAGAAGAATGGTTGGGAGTTCCTACAAAAGCGTCAAGTAAAAAGCATGACTTTCTAATATCTATAAAGGATTTAGAACATACTGTTGCTGTCTTTGCTGTAAAAAAAAGTAACTTTCAGTCAATTTTCTCGAATAATATCTATGGTTTCATAAAATGATTTGTGTTATGATTCATTTGCAATGTACATAAGAACTTTTGGTGTTATTTTCAAAAAGCAAATATCACATATTGTCTTTTGAAAATGATCACTCTGAGTAGTCAAAATTCAAACTCACAAATAACAACTCTAGGAATAATTAAAAAAGAATTCTCCCAAGAAAGTTTAATATACTTCAGGAAACGTCAATGATAAAAAAAAAACAATATGAATTTTTTTTTTTTAAAACATGGTTTTTGTTTAAAAGTCAAGCTATAAAATCAAAACTGTTCAATCAAAACTTGGCTAGTAAAATTCAACACACCCAAAACAAAGGATTACAAGACAAAAATTAAAAACTTTCAAAATTATATTAATGCAAAAAACATATAAGTAAATTATAACTTCCTACTTTGAACTATAAATGACATTATACTAAAGATGTTTTTTTCTGGTTTTTTTTTCATGTCCAACTTCTTATTAAAACTTTGCGCAATCATCATGCATGCATTGCAAGCTTCAGTAAGCTAAAAACCTATCTTGATAGAATTGAGATGTCTGCGTGACATCAAACACATACATAATCTTTGATACCGTTCTCATCAATTTTGATACAGCAACCATTTTGCGGCTGTTTAGTTGTAGTGACTATAAACATTTGTTATATATAGCCACTGACTTTATATGGTTACAACTGCCAACATATTTCAGAGGGAATAGAGACGAAGGATACAAAAGGGACAAAGATTGGGATTTGATAAAGTATATATATGGTTCTTCAACAAGTCATGCTGGTTGACTTAGAAAAAGGGATAAAGTTCAGGATTAAAAACAAGGAAAATATTTGATCAGGTGATTGGAGAACAAAGAATAGATATGGGAAATAGGTATAAAGAGCAAGATTTGACATAGGCTATTTTTCACCTTACTAAGGGATTTTTCTATACAGAATAGTTTCAAGAATATTCAAACAATTCAGTAAGTAGTAAAACTTACAATGGACAACTCTTGCAAGTCAAATAAAACTTAAGATGGACAACTCTTGCAAGTCAAATAAAACTTAAGATGGACAACTCTTGCAAGTCAAATAAAACTTAAGATGGACAATTTTTGCAAGTCAAAAAAAACTTAAAATGGACAACTCTTGCAAGTCAAATAAATGTATTAACAAAAAGGTAATGTTAAATAGTTTAATTGATGCTAACTAATTTTTTAAGGAAATAAAATTTCTTCTTTTCAGAATCCTACACATGCAATATGATAATAGGGAAATTTTGTTTTCTAAAATGAATCTATTATCTACTTGTAAATTTCAACATTACTCTTGGATAAATCAATATAAGAGGCAATTTTAAAGGTAATTCCTAGACTTTTCTTTCAATCTTGTATAAATTGTTAGAATGAATAAACTGAAAGCAATTTCTTTAGTATGGAATTTCCAAAACTTCAGGGATGATCAAAAAAGAAGCTAAAGAGAATATTTATATGAGATTATGGTAAAAATTTTGCTACAACAATTATTTAAGAAAAATATTTTGCTTGTTTGCATTATAAACCTTTTTCAATGCTCATGTAAAGCAATTCCAGGATCAATTACTGCTAATAGACAAAAGAACTGTCCTTAGCTGAACTATAAAAAGAAATATCATCTCATCAAAATATCATGAAATCTTGATAATACTGGACTTCAGGCTTTAAATATGTATTTAATTGATTGTTGTTTAATGCCACTTTAGGCTCTATTGTTCTATATTGTGGTGGTCAGTTTAAAACCTTTTTATTGGTGGAGGAAGCCAGAGTGCCAGATGAGAATCACCCACCTTCGGTAGGAAAACTGACAATCCTAGTCAATGCAAGATTGGGAGTCGAGCGCACCTGCCCCGTGCGAGATTCTAACTCACAACCTCAGTGTTGACAAGCTAGTGAAACAGTAGTTCGACTACTTTGACCACTCAGCCATTGAGGCCCCAAATATGTATTTAAGGCTTGACAGATGTATTTAAGACTGAACATATGTATTTAAGACTGAACATATGTATTTAAGACTTAACATATATATTTAAGATTTGACATATACAAGACATGATATATACTACAGAAAAGAAATGACACTTCAAACATTGTTTTTACAAACATGCAATCCACTAAGTCATTCAATACTATAGCCATTCTGCAATCTACTTACCCCTCGCTGTATCAAAAAATTGTTTAAATTAATACAAACACACAATATACGGAAATTGTCACGACAACCCAAACAAATTACAATACTCTACTCTTGATATCGTTATTATGTAACTCATATTATATGTTTCCTCAACAAATGTACAATGCAATGTAATGTAAAAAAATATGTTTTTCTGCATATCTTTGTTCAGCTTCTGAAATCTTATGATAACGGCTGTATACCCATACAAAAGTATCCAATTATTTATCAAAATGCATACAGAGTAAGAAAAATGTTACTGTGCATAAATAACATCAAAATATTGCTGCTGTAATTAATGAATGGCTATTATTTATTTTGAATTTATTGAACCATAAAATTAATTTTTGACTCTTCACATTGAATAATCCGTGAATTATGTAAAATGTGAAGAGTCAAAAATTAATTTTATGGTTCAATAAATTCAAAATAAATAATAGCCATTCATTATAAATAAATTTTTATCAAAAATAAGGCTCAAAGAGCTTTTTATATTATTTAATAACAACGTACACACATGTTGGCGTATGAATACACAACGTCAGAGTGGGCGTGTCGCCATAAAAATTGACAGCATTGAAAATAAAGGTAATACTTTTAACCAATCAGAAGACAGTAAATACACCAAATTTATTTATAAGTAGATATAAATTGTGCAAATTCCACAAGTTCCACAAAAGTGAATTATTTAGTTTTATCAAATTATCTAAAAAATGTATGTTCCACCTAAATGTGCATCATACCACCAATCTTTATCAAAAAGAATATTCCATTCTAGTCCCTTTAAACTTAAACTTTTTTCAATTTCTGAGTTATGTCCTTATTATTTTCTAAAAGATAGTTCAAAATTACCAGAACTTGTATGTCCTCCAGATTAATGGTTGCCATGGCAATCATGTCCTCCATTTGACCTGAGTGAATAGAGACCTTGACATTTTGATCTGGTTCCTCTTTATTGGGAGTTGGCAGACGGTCACCAGGTAGATCAAATACTACATCTTCATGAATCCTAAACAGTAAAAAAACTTTTAAAGAATATTTATCAAACAATTATGTTATTATCAGTTAAAAAAGTTGGGTCATTTCAATGTTCGTTTTGCCATGTATTAAAATATACATGTATGAAATTAAGTATAATGTGGCAACACTTTTGTAATCAGCACAACAAATTATACCTTTTACATCCTTTATTTTGTGAATCATAAAGGAAAAATTCAACTAACAAAAAAAATGTTTTTTTTCAAATTATCTCCCCTTTATTATTTAGTACTTTACTATTATGAAAGTGCCCAAACAATATAATTACGCAGTCAACCATGTACCGTAGAAAGGCTTGTATAGTCCGCGGTTTTATTCTCCAAAATTGGACCTTCCAGACGGGGTGCGGACTATAGAGTACAATAAGCAAGAAATAAGAGAAAAATTTCAATTTCGCGGGCGAGGTGGTTTGTTTACGTTCCGCCATCTTTGTTATTTCTATTGTAGAGGGCGCTCTTATCATTTTTCAAACTAATTATTTTAACTCATCCATATTAATAAGTTATTTCTATTTAATATCAAATTAATACTGATAAATATAAAAACTAAACCTTTCATTACAAATTTCTCGTTTCTTTTCAATGCATTGGTTGAAATAAACTGGTATCTGCTTGATAGAAACGATACAAACATAGTGAAAAAGACAACCGTAAACCAGCTTAGAATTTGTAAACTACAAAACGTAATCGGTTATTGTTCATTCCGTTTTTGGTGTTTCATACTGACTAATATGGTTTGTATTAGCTTAAGACCCTTCAAACATTAATGTGATAGATATATTAAAGACTGTTTTACAAAAGGATGGAACTGTTTTACTTTCAAAGTCGTATTATAGTGATATCTGTTATATACGGATTTCGACTCTCACCGGTTAATTTCTTCTTTTACACGTGCTTTTTAAACTTCCTGTTTAAACATACACAAGTTTCTAAATTGTTTTTAAAGTGAACTAAACTTATTTTAACAATCATGAAGCGTTCTAGAATCATTTACAAGCAGTTTCAGCTTCTGTTTGATAATGGAAAACAGGGTTTTCCAAGAAAATACCGCAAACTACCGCACAGGATTTGAAATTACCGGAGTTTCATTAGACCTTTTCTAACAGTTACAAAAAGTTTTTTTACCTAAAATTTCGTGGGGAGAAGGGGGTGCGGACTATGTACCAGTGCAAACTATACAAGCCTTTCTACGGTACAAGCCCCTATATATACTTACGATGGCAGATCTCCTCTCATCTCCTGCATTTTCTTCTCCAATACTGCCTTTTTGTCTAAAAAAAATAACACAACATACTGATAATAATATTACTTTTCAAATAATCAGACAATCCCTATCTTAATATCATCTATTTATTTTTTTTGAAATGGTGGGTGTTGAACATGTTTTTACAATAAAGACAGTCATTTAACTCTTACAGAAGCTACATTACTGCAAAATAACTTTACTGTTTAATTTCAGACATTAGAATTGGAGTAATACTGATTTTAACAAATGTTGTTTTTTTTTTAATAAAGAGATTATCAGATAAGTTTCCAGTCTGTATTGACAAATTGTGCCTCAAATGTTAGAGATAAAAAAAAAATAACTTGTCTATCATATAGACTTGCCCAAGACTACAATATCACACTTTCCAAAGTTTCTGTTAAATTTATTCACAACTACTATACATTCTGGGCAATTTAGAGCTTAAAATATTTTATGAAAACATGTTGGGTGTTGAATACTGATTTTTTTGCCCTGTTTCGGTGAAAATGTGACCCCAATTTCTTTTAATTCCGTCCTTCATTTTGTTACAATTCTTTACAACATTCTTATACAAAATATCTCATTATGAAGTTCCAAATTATAATAAAGTCATTACTAATTACTGAATTCGAGAAATATGTAGCGAGATTTGGCAATGGTAAGATGGACAAACAATGACTTGCAGTATACATATGACTTCCAAGGCAGATCCAGTGGGCGTAGAGGGCGAACACCCCTCCTCCTTTGATCGACAAAAAATAATTATATAATGTTTTTCACAATTTATATGATTATTTAGCATAAATTCATTCAATTTTTTTTTTTTTTATAGAATATATAAATCATTTATATGGAATTACGCTCCCCCCCCCCCCCCCCCCTTTAAAAAACTAGGGATATAACAATTGAAAATAATGGTATAAATGTGAAAGTAAAAGTTGCTATAAAATTCCTTTTATATGTGTGTACAAAGCAAAATATAATGGCAAACCGATGTATTCAAAATTTTTCTCAAGTTGCTATTATAATAAAATGTTATAAAGCAAGTAGATTTGAACAATCTACACACATGCAAGCTAAATATGCAATAACATATCATGTAATATTAAAAAAATTAAACTCATTAAAGGTGCATTATTTACTATTCAGGCTACACAAAATATTCAAGTTTTTGGTTCTCAAACCCTCAGACCTAATTCGCTTCTTAAAAGAGATTTCAATCAATTTTACTTAATTCTCCTCATATCTTTCTGTTTTTATGAACGAGAGAAGAAACAAATTTCAAAGACTCTGTAATAAATCAGAAAAGTATAACCTCTGGAAATCATTTAACCACTTGTGAATGCATTTTTAAAATATTTTATTTAGGTAGTTCAGGATAAAAAAAAAAATAGAAAAAAATGTGTACTTATAAATAAGCTGTTCTGTTCAAATAACAATAAATATTAAAAGGCCTGCATGAGAAACAAAATCTTCCAATTGCATAGCCTTACAATATAACATATTAAATCTGATAGCTTATAAAAATTGAATAAAAATCCACACTTTAGCATCATAATCATATACACTATATATATATATATATATATATGTGTGTGTGTTTGCATTAAAAACTATATTGAAGAAATATCCGTTTACATTATGCTGTTTACATCTGCAATTAATATTTAAACTTCAAACATACTGCAAATTCAGCAATTTTTGCAGGCATTTATTATTGAGATTGGTAGACAATAGACAAAAAAATCTCAAATGTGACTTTTTATTATTACCTATCCTGTCAAAATTTTCGCAATAATAAAAACATCACAAAAATTTACAGGAGGTATTTATTCCTATGTTACACCCTCCCCTCCCCCAACCCCACCTCCAATATTTCTTTAACAAAATTCCATCCTCACATTTTCTCCTATTTTTGACTTACCCCTGAAATTTTCCCTTTGTTAAATTTAATTTGTAAACAATTTTTTGCCTTTAATATCAAATAAATGATAAATATTACTCCATTGAGTTTTCCCCAAAAGCCAAAAATTAAGTAATAACTTATTAAGTACAGCATAATGTAAGCATGGGTATAGCTAACCTATTATATCTCAAGCTATAATATTACCTTTAGCATAGGTGTCATATAAAGTTTTAATCTGAAATTCTTCTTAATTCAAATTAATATACAGAAAATGGTTGAAAAGAAATAATTGATGAATCTTTGTACAGCATAAACATTACAAAAGAAGGAATATATTTATCTTAAATATAAAGGGAAGGCATACTAAATTACTATTGGATTTGTGTGTTGGGTATTGTTTGAAGCTTGGATAAGTTGATATATTTGAAAAGAAAGATACAATTAGGTTTGTACATATGCAAAGTATTTTTTTAAGATTCAAATCTAAAGGCAGTAACAAACTATTAAAAAAAAACCAATAGTATAATCTATATTTTTAAATTTTAGATATAAAGAAGAATTGGGAATGATAATTTTCGATAATGATAAACTTTGTATAACTCCTGATGTTAGCAGCACACACCTTCAGCAGGTTTAGCTCTAGACCCAATCAAACCTTTCTTAGGTTTCACTTCCTCTTCTTTTGGGGTTTCTGGCTTTTCCTAAGATAAAAATAAAACATAATTTCTGCCAGTTTTTAACAACGTCATTTAAGAATTAAATGTTTCTTTTTATAGTTTTATAGAGGTGTGAAAGCGTTGACAGAATAAAATTGAGAATGGAAATGGGGAATGTGTCAAAGAGACAACAACCCGACCACAGAACAGACAACAGCAGAAGGTCACCAACAGGTCTTCAATGCAGCGAGAAATTCCCGCACCCGGAGGCGTCCTTCAGCTGGCCCCTAAACAAATATATATATACTAGTTCAGTGATAATGAACGCCATACTAAACTCCAAATTGTACACAAGAAACTAACATTAAAAATAATACAAGACTAACAAAGGCTAGAGGCTCCTGACTTGGGACAGGCGTAAAAAAGGCGCAAAAGAAGCATGTTTTGTATGGAGCATGAAGGCACTTCATACTAACAATGTGCATACGATTAACACTTTTACAACCCTATAAAATTATAAAAAGAAGCATAACATTTTTATGATACAATCATTAAATTAAGAATTATATCAAGATTTTTGTTTGTTTTTCTATGCATTGTTTTAACATTTTAATAGATAGCAAGTACAGTCATATCTGTTGTATTTTATACGGAAATAAAATATCATATTAGCGTGCCTCAATATTACTGTCAGCCAATCAAGATGACAGATTCTAATGAAACATACATGTAATGTAATTATGAGAATAAAGTAACACCAGTTGACTGCTGAGAGAAATGCATGTAAGTGTGTCCACTTATTTCTCTGACAAGATCAAGTGTGTTTAACTAGATTGAATGATTTATTTAAAACACTTTCAATGGAAGATGATATGTTTGTGTTGTGCGTGTGCGTTAGTTCTTAAATAACATTCAGTGTGTCAACTTCATTTCATTTGTGAAATAAGTAAAAGCACTTTATATGCATGTGAATTCTTCAAAGACACTCATTCTATCAGTTTGTATACCTATATAGTTTGTTCAGAATTCTTTAGTACTAGAAACTGCTGATTTTTGTTTTAAATATACATTCTGTCTCTTTTTTAATAACATCCATTCTTCCAACTGGTGTATCAATTAAATAAGGACTTAATTTGATTTTCATTTTATGAACTTAAAAGAAATTCTCACCTCTTCAACAACATCCAGCCTACCAGTTTTTAGTATTTTATTTTGGAATGTGATCATACACTTGAGCTCTGCCTGTTTGATAGATTTTGGTGTGTGTACCCTGACATATAAGTAATGATCATATTCTGGTTCGTGTGTCCACACTGCCACTTCTTTCATTTCTGGTTTAGGTGGCTCAGGTGGCTTTTCTTCCTGTTCTTCAGCAAATCTTACTTTCTATAGTGATAAAATAAAAGTCAGACATCTTACTTCTTGATGTGATATAAATCTTTTTCTTCATTTTTGTATGATGCCACTTTCCTTATATTTGTGAAAATGTTTGCTTAGTTCAACTTTTTAAAGAAGCATTTTAAATATTTGTATCACAAAGTAAATAAAGGTTAAATCTGAAATAAGTGTACTGGTACCTACAGTAATTTCCATGTCAGTAAAACTGTGAATGGAAAATTCTTCTACAAGGAAATGTTTGCTGATAATTAAGAAACAAGAAAAGAAATATTCAAGATAGCCTTTAAAGTAGATTCATTTCAGCTATACATCTCTATTATCCTAAAGTGTCAGAAAATATTTTCCAGAATTATTTTGACTGAGGTTCCTATTGTCTACAGCAATGTTGAGAGTGGACAATTTTGTAGACTTTTTCTATGTCTATTTTGCTTTCATGTCTCTCAATACCTTCTATATCTTTTGCCGTCAAATGTTTTTGCTATGAGCCTTAATAAGAAAAAGTGTTTTGAACAATGCAAATCATATATGCATAATTTTGATTCATAGCTAATGTCTTACAGTGTCCTTTGGTTTATGCTCACATACTTATTTTTTTTGTTTATCAAAATTTCGGTTTTGAGTGTATCCTGTGTAAATGTTGTGTACATTGTGTACATTATACGTTTTCTGCTGGTTATTTTTAACAAACCTTAGGAGATTGCTCCCTCCCTTCTGTATCACTCTCGTAATCCTCTAGTCCTAGTTTCTGATCACTATCAACACTTCCTTTGTCACTACTAATGTCCTCACCCTCTTCCTCTAAATCCTAAAATAAACAAAAATAAACTTTTCATACTGTGGATTCATTTATTTTCGTGGGTACCAATTTTCGTAGGTTGTTGAAAAATCAAATTTTCATGGATAAAAGATTTCGTTGTTTAGCAAAAGTTTGTATACAAGCCTATAGACAATTTATACTTTGTTGTACATTTGCATTCGTGGTTTCCCTATAACCATGAAATCAGTACCCCATGAATACTTTATGTATTTTTGCTCAATTTCTATTTTTCTGTGTACTATTGTTTGTCTGTTTGTCGTTTTTGTTTTTAATTGCCTGTTGTTATCTCCTTCTGTTTATAAAGATTTTTTGAAGTTATAGTCAATATGAAGCAACACACATAATTGTGCAGGAAGAGCTCACAGTATATTTGTTTTGATATTTTTCAAACTACTGCATTTATACCAGTAGTGAATCAAAATGGTATAAGAAAAGAAACATCTATAATAAAAAATATGATCACACTCTCTATAGCTTATAAAGGCTTTTTCATTTTCTCATTTACTAAATAAAAACATTAATGTGTAAAAACACAAAGATTTCAAAATTCAAGTAGTTTTTAACACACATATTTCAAAATTCAGGTAGTATTTAACACACAGATTTCAAAATTCAGGTAGTTTTTAACACACAGATTTCAAAAATCAAGTAGTTTTTAACACACAGATTTCAAAATTCAGGTAGTTTTTAACACACAGATTTCAAAATTCAAATTGTTTCTGATAAAGAATTTTCCCTGAATGTCAGAAAAATATATCACTACACCATTTAATTATATTTTAGAGCTGTACCAGAAATAAATGTATGGTGGTCAGAAGGCACTTTTTACATTTTATTTTATCCCACCATTCATGCCTAACAAATCTTATTAGAAGTGCCTTCTGACCTCCTCCCTCCCCCCTCCATTTAAAAAATTATTTTGAGACAGCCCTTATAATAATTACAATATCTTTTACTTTAAAAAAAAAAACAGAGAAAAACAAGGGAAAATGTAAAGCACATAAAGCTGTTAACAAAACAATATCATATCCCAGTACGAGTAGAGATAAAAATAAATTGATAACTTCAGCAGAACTCAGGACAAAGATGGCTGACAGTTATCACAAGTTAATAAATTCACTATTACTAAGAATATAGCTGCAAAGAGAATTACTAATCACAATAAAAGATTGTATCCTTTAAATGAAAATTATAAAAGTAAAGAAAATTTAAAATCATATTTTAACAGACTCGAGTCAAATCACCAATTCAGAAATTACTTACTTTTCTTTGCTACAGAAATCGCAAAAAATTATTAACTTTATATAAGATATCAATTCATAAATAACTAAAACAGGTATAAAGTTTTCTGAAATATGCAAGAGTTTAATCAGCTGCAAGTTACAGCTAATCCCATTACCTGTTTTAAGTATATTAGATCTATTTTAACATGCATTTCATGAAACAAATTCAATTAAATAAAAGTAATCTTGAGTAATTGCCCAAGTTTTGACTAGTTATAAAGGAGGAAAATAAGACCTTTTTTTTGCAATCAAATATGCACATTTATCATCTATGGGAAAAGAGATGACTTTTTTGTATACATGTATCATATAGATTCTAAACTAGGCAAGTTACTTAACCAAAGTCACTCATGTGTAAAATGTAGAATAAGTCAACTCAATATCAAATAGTTGCTATGCACTTTCTCAACATTTAACTGGTTATTAATGGCTTGTACCCTCCATCAACTTATATATCATGTCTGATTTGAACAGTTTTCTTCAATATTTACCAGTCTTTACAATTAATTAAATTTCAGCAAATTTTGTATAAAAAATAAAAAGAATGTACCGATAATTTATCACTATCATCTGCTTCATCTTGAGGCTTGAGAGATAATGGCATTTCATCGTCTTCTTCCTCTTCTTCTTCATCAGAACTTTCCTCTAATGCTCTAGTGTACTCTTGAACATGCTCTAATCTGTAATTGTAGTAAAATTAATAAAGGAACAGTGTTTCAATGTCCACTGCCGATGCACATACCTTAAAGGTAATAGATCGAATGTATATATATCTTTATTCTTTTTTAACTTTTTATATAAAATGTAAACCTGAGATCACTAACAATGCAATTTTCCATATAATATATATTTCAAAGGCACATCACTCCTGTAAAGATAGTTGATCAATGCTGATTATCGAAATAGTCAAAACCCTTGCTAATATTAATTTTTGATACAAATTTCTTAAAAATTTGATAGAAATTGTGCACAAAACATATGAATAATCTTACCCAAATTTAGCTTTCTGTTTTATTGATTCTTACCCTAATTTAGCTTTCTGTTTTATAGATTCAATCAGAAATTTCCATCGTCTTCCATGGCCTTTATTACTCATTATTTTAGAGAAAAGTTTCTCCCAGTTCATTATTTTCTTCTCTCTTGCAATTTGCTTCGACTAAATAAAGAAAACAATAATAATACCTTTTCCTATATAATTACATGTAAATGAGATAGAGAAGGGGAGACAATTAGAAATTATACATGCATGTTAAAACGTTTAAACCAGCTGCATTTGTTTGCACCTTTCCTTAGTCAGGAACCTGTTGTTCAGTGGTTGTCGTTTGTTGATGTGGTTCATAAGCGTTTCTCGTTTTTTATATACCAGGGGGTAGATTAGACCGTTGGTTTTCCTGTTTGAATGGTTTTACGCTAGTCATTTTTTGGGCCCTTTATAGCTTGCTGTTCGGTGTGAGCCAAGGCTCCATGTTGAAGGCTGTACTTTGACCTGGAAAAGGTTTACTTTTACAAATTGTGACTTGGATGGAGAGTTGTCTCACTGGCACTCATACCACATCTTCTTATATCTATGTGTATAATTATTTGTTATATAAAAAATCCAAAAGTGACTTATATGATTTCTTTACAATATTCATATTTATATGAAACAAATCTACCTCTTGTTGCCTATAATTGAATAATTATTTGGTTTTTTTTTAATAATTATTGTACGTTGACCTAAACGTTGAATAAACCAACAAAATTTTGATATAGTTCTGGTTTTTGGAGGAGATTTTTTAGGGGGAATTTTCTAGGGTTGCATTAACATTTACCCAACTTCTTCTTTAATTAATACCATTTTATTTTCATTGATATCCATTAAGACTCAAGGGAAAACATACCTGTGTTTCAACCAACTTTAATCTCTTTATTGCTATGTTTAATTGTCTCTGATTACTCTCATAGTCCTCATGTAATTTCTTCAATGCAGCACTTTTTTCTTCCCATGGTGTAGAGTACACTCTAACCAGTCTAACAAGTTCATTAACTGGCATGTTAGCATCACTTACACTAAAAGGACAAAACAAATCATTTCAAATATTTATCATGTTTATATTGAATATGATAATTATTGCTTCCAAATAGATTAATGAAACATCTTATCAATTTAGTTTCTTTACAACAAATTTTTGCATTGTATTCGAGGTATCAAATTTGAATTTTCTCACTTTTGATCATGGGGGTATGCACAACACTCAAAAATATTTGTAAAATTGTTGGGTATTTTTGTACTTTTATATGTCACATTATCAAAAAAAATGTATTTAGATTTTGGTGCAGATAGCTCATAGCCACTATTCATTTAAAAGTAAATACCTTCTAAATACTTTACCAGTTATTGTGGCCAGCTTTACAAGAACTGTTGGAGGTAATGCATGTTTGATCATTTCATCTTTCATTTCAAGTAACTACAAATATACAGATATTAGAAAAAGTTAGCAAAACAACCTAGAACTTTGAAACTCAAATATTAAAATACCCTTGCAAAAATAACAAGAGCTGTCAGAATGACAGTAAACCTGATTTTTTAACATTTATTTGTGTCCTGGCATTTATCAATATCACAAGGACCAAAACTACTAAATGGTAAAAGTTACAATCATCAATATCAAACTTGACCTCCATTTTGTCATCAGTAACAACATATTAAAATTTAATAAGCATTGGTTGAACGGTTCATGAGTAAATGCAACGACATGACTGGAAACACCATTTTTCAATCTTTAAAGAACCATAACTCCTGAACAGTAAAAGTGAAAATCGCCATTATTGAACTTGACCTCCATTTTGTCATCAGTAACAACATATTTAAATTTGAAAAACTTTGGTCGAACGGTTCATGAGTAAATGCACGGACACGACTGGAAATATTTCAAGAACCGTAACTCCTGAACGGTAAAAGTGAAAATCGTCATTATCCTACTTGACCTCCATTTTGTCATCAGTAACAACATTTTAAAATTTGAAAAGCTTTGGTCGAATGGTTCATGAGTAAATGCAACGACATGACTGGAAACGCCATTTTTCAATCTTTCAAGAACCATAACTCCTGAACAGGAAAAGTGAAAACCGCCATTATTGAACTTGACCTCCATTTTGTCATTAATAACAATATATTTAAATTTGAAAAGCTTTGGTTGAACGGTTCATGAGTAAATGCACGGAGACAACTGCAAACACCACTTTTCAATCTTTCAAGAACCATAACTCTTGAACGGTAAAAGTCAAAATCGTCATATTGAACTTGACCTCCATTCTGTTGCCAGTAACAACATATTAAAATTTGAAAAGCTTTGGTTGAATGGTTCATGAGTAAATGCAACGACATGACTGGAAACACCATTTTTCAATCTTTCAAGAACCATAACTCCTGAACAGGAAAAGTGAAAACCGCCATTATTGAACTTGACCTCCATTTTGTCATTAATAACAATATATTTAAATTTGAAAAGCTTTGGTTGAACGGTTCATGAGTAAATGCACGGACACGACTGGAAACACCATTTTTCAATCTTTCAAGAACCATAACTCTTGAACGGTAAAAGTCAAAATCGTCATATTGAACTTGACCTCCATTTTGTTGCCAGTACCAACATATTAAAATTTTAAAAGCTTTGGTTGAACGGTTCATGAGTAAATGCACGGACAACATTTGGCTGCCGCCCGCCCGACGTACATCCCCAAATCAATAACAGATACTTTCGTTGAGAATCCGGTTAAAAATGGAAATTATTATGTTATCATGTTTATGACTGTTATATTAGTATATGCACATCTTTCTCCTTGTCTTTAAGGAGTATTTGATCTAAAAAAAATTTTTTAGTTTGCTGCATAACTTGATGCATACCAGTTGTCTCTGTGATGCTTACATTCCTGTGTAAATCATAGTTATAAAAGTGAGAACTGCATAACACAAATTGTCAACCTACCTCTGTCATTGCTGTGTGAACTAAAGCCATAGCATTGAGAACTCCATCACAAAGATTGTCAAATTTGTTTGGTTCACGTCTCTTCGCTGCTGGATCAGGTTCTTCATCATCTGAACTATCAGATTCATCAGATGACCCCTAAATTATAAATACAAATTTTTCAAATTTAAATGCTAGAAAGAAATTATTGATTTTCACCTTCAGACAGTCATTGTTTCTTTATTTCTATGTAGAGATATGTTAACACAAGACACACAGCAAATTAAAAATCCAGATAGCAAAGAACCTTTATTGTTTATATGCTAAGCTTGTCCCATGTTAAGAGAGATTGAGCACTCACAAACATGTTTAACCCTACCACATAATGTGTTTTGTGTTTCCCTATTCAGGTTCCTGTAGATCAGTGATTGTGGTTGCTTGCTGTCTACCATATTTTTTTGGGGTTAATCATTTTTAGAAGAAATCAGGCTGTTGGTTTTTTCATTTTAAATTGTTTCACATAGTCATACTCATGTCTTTTATTGGCTATACAGTGTGGACTTTGCTGAGTTTGCTAATTGTTGACGGCTATATGGTGCTCTATAGTTGTTTACATCCTCATCTTTTGAACTCTGGTGGATATTTATATATAGATGTCTCACTGGCAAACATACCACATCTCTTTATTTTTATATTGGGGTAGAGATCTTGACATCTGGCATAAACCTTTGTCTATGGTAGATGTCTTTTTGTGTCTTACTTTCTGTCTGTTTGTCTTTCTCTTATACCCTACATTTCTTTTTTATTCAAAATAGGGTCCAACATTTATATAACATTGTACTTACCTGTCTCTTTCTTTCATCGTCTGAATCTTCAGGCTCCTCTTCCACCTCATGTAGGGCCTCAAAAAAATTGTTTCTTCCTGAAAAACAAAGCATATTTAAATACCATTGATTACATAAACTAGAATTGCAAAAAAGAAAATAGCTGTGGTTGTGATGAATCATGTAAAAATCGGGTATTCATATGATAAGTACTTTAATTCGATTTCAGTCTTGATTATAAGTGTTTAATTTTTTCACAATTGTTCAACAAATGTTGTTCAAACAAGATGCTTTACAACAAATTCATGCATTACTTTGTTAATGATGTTGGTTTAAGTTTGTGATCTACAATATAGCATTAGAAGATTTGAATTTACTTGTGAACCATCAGGAATCAAACCTAGAACAGTAACCAGCACTCCACAAACTGAGCTATAAATGATAATGACCCAGCTAATATGTGTCTTCTAATGTAAACAACCAATGACACAGTAATAGTTTTGCTGACTTAACCTGTACTAGCCAATAATCAATACAAAATCCACTTAAGACAAAAACTTTGAAATTTACAAATCAGAATTCATAAATAAGAGAGATCAATAAGGCACTCCACAGGTTAAATAGTGGGTCTCATTGGGGTCTAAGCATGACAAAGGATTGGCTGAGTTTTTGTAAGCGTGACACATGAAAGTCAAATTACTGTGCATGAAAACAGGAAACGAAGTAGCCTGTACACATGAAATTACAAGCTTTATTGTTACAATAAGCGGATTACAGGAATCTGACAAACAATAAGCAGGATCCTCGATCAGACCCCTGTTATACTGTATAGTGTATGATCAGACGAAGTGTGCAACCCGCTATATATAGTAAGGCAATCACGTTGTCCCAGTACATTTGTACTACCAACTGTGATTGAAACGGGATTTATCGAGATTGCTATTAATAGTAACAAAAATCAATGGCCAAAGTTTTTGAGATGCATTCTGGGTAGAGATAATTTATGCAAAACACCCTATAACTTAATTAGCACACAGTTGAAAATAATGTTTGACCATCGACCTGTTAATGAAAAACAGATGCCATATTATATCAGTGTCATGAATCATTATGAATATGATGGTTTCAATATTAAGTAATAAAAATGTTTGTATTAATAATCAAGTTTAAAAACTTCAATTATAACCATACAAAAATTGTCATACGGAATAAAAAAAGCTCACTTCTTACTAAAATAAATGTTTGGTTTCAGAACGGTTAATTATGAAAAAATTGCTATTAAAAAGGTTGGCCAGTAAAAATAAGGTCGGAAAACTGTGTACCGGTATCCATGATATACAGTTCTCTTAACTATTTTAACACTTGATTAGGAATTAGTTTAATAGGACTTAACATTCTATCATATCTTACAAATATATGTTACTATTTACAAATTTCATCAGAAATAAGTTTTTTTTTAAAGTTGCACAGGACTTCTTCGGATATAATCATTTTTAGCACAGTTAACACATTGTAACCTAAATTTTAAAGAAAAAAAGACGTGATAATTGTATGCCCTTTCTTTAATTTCGACTGCTATCTTTACTGATATCTTGCCTGCGTTACTGAAATCTTCACGCTGATACTGCCTCGGATGATGAAGTGGAGGAACAAAAGTTATTATTCTAGTCAGCTATTATTACATTTATCAGTTAAAATACATGTAAAAAATGCAGTTCATAACACGTGCGTTCAACATTAATTTTATAGGTTAAAATTGTAGGAAAAGTTGCGATCACGATCTTTGTAAACAAATGAGTAATAAATATATATTCTTTGTGTAAATAGATATAAGAAGATGTGGTAGGAGTGCCAAAGAGACAACTCTCCATCCAAGTCACAATTTGTAAAAGTAAACCATTATAGGTCAAAGTACGGTCTTCAACACGGAGCCTTGGCTCACACCAAACAGCACGCTATAAAGGGCCCCGAAAATGACTAGTGTCAAACCATTCAATCGGGAAAACCAAGGGTCTAATACTTCATACTAAAATATGATGAAGTCTGACTTCAAAAACCTAGCTGTAGGACAATTTGATTTAATTTGTTCAAATATTAAATCAATCTGAAGGGTTGAGTTGGGTAAAGAAACAAAGTAATCCCTGGAATTGTCCGGTTCCAACAGTAAAACCCTTTCTTTCAAGTGTGGGATGTATAAATTAGTAGCAGCCATGTCAGGTTGGAGGAGGGACTTTAAACCCAGTACATCGCTTTATGCAGAGAGTGTAACATTCATCCTAAATAAGGCTTATTCAGGATGAATATTACACTCTCTGCATGTTAAATAACACTTGCGACAACTCTTTAATGGAAAATTTATGATATATTTGCCACTGAACAATAAGCTAGCAACACACAATAAATCATAACTTAAATCTACATGATATACAGGTCTCTTCAGTCTTGTGAATATAAAACGACAAAAAAGGACCATGACATGTAAAAGTTGTTGCAAAACTGACTCACATATATACATGTATCTTATAATGGTGAACGTAATGACGGACGTGTATGTTTCTTACTTTAAAATAGCTTACTCATCACCGTATATTATAGCTTCCCTGGTGTCGTAAATAACTGATACATAATTCGTAAACACAACATTCTATTTAAAAATGAAATAGGCAATTATGACTTATATTTTGACAACAATATATTTTTTAAAAAAGACGATACATTTTTAGTTCGAAATGGCAGATTTTATAGTTCTCATTTGCCGTTACGCGATGAAAAATGGTAGAAATGAATTCTTTTATAAAATTTCATATCATTTTCTAAATGTTGAAAATGAAGTTAAATAACTGACAATAAGAATCCATCACACTAAGTCAGCTCACTTTATTTTCGAAAAAAAAATGATAATTATATAATCAAACACTCAGGGAGACTTAATCAACAGCTATCTATTTGATGATAATATTTCTACCCATGATTCCATAGTTGTAAAACAAGATTTGGGAGGACCACATATGACGCTTTCCACTGATTACGGGGACATCGTGATCGCCTTACTATAGTATATAGCACAGCTTGCACACTTCGTCTAGTAATGGACTTCTGGTATTATGTGTAAGGTTTCATTGTGTTTTTTGTAGGGCATGTAGGGTGTGATGTCGTATGGAACTTGCCATTACAATTTCAAAATTTTCACATTTAAAAAATAAAATTTAATTAAATGCATCAATAATAGTAAGTTTGACTCTCTTTTATGAACGGCACCTGTTTGATAGCATTTCACAATAAGTGCAATCTTAGATGTGCAAGAGTGGCAGAGAACGGATTTCTACCAACTGTTGTTATGTTCATAAGAGTTACCTCTATCCATGGTTTATTAATTCTAACATGTAAAAAATTATTAAAGTTGGCTGATGTCGTCCTCCATATTGTAAACGATGGAAGGTTGCTAGTCACGTGATACTTTGAACGGTAAAGTTATGAATTAAATCACGGTATGTGCAACCTGGGATCAAGTGCAACATATCTAACAAAGGACGTAAATATATAATATGAGACAGGTGTTACATGTGAAAGGAGACGAATAAGAATACTTTACCATATCCTGTTAACAGCAGATTTATATATATATAAACATTTATTGCAATTTCCAGCATAATTTTGACAGAGACATGTAATAAACAATTTATTGTATTATATGTCTCTGTTTCTGATGAGAAAGTAACCGAATATTCAATATTAAATCAAAAACATGATTTACACATAAAAACAGAAACATAGAATACACATTATTAGAAGTCTTATACGTCTCAGAAAGGATTTAGCTCGTTAGATACAGTGTAAAGCAAAATATTGTCCTATGAAATATTGTCCACCAAGACAATATTTGAGGGGGTGGAAAGAGGGGTACCTTTCTCCTTTCTCCCGCCCCTCGTCTCCTTTCTCCCGCCCTTCTCTCCTTTCTCCCGCCCCCTCTCTCCTTTCTCCCGCCCCTCTGCTTCCATCTCCCACCTTAACAACCGTCTTTTTTCAGATCAATCGATTTTAATACAAATTTGAATTAATATATGACCATATATAGGTGGCATAGGTCTATATTAAAGCATATACTGATTTTACGAACAAGGCCTGCCTCCGACTCGTACGCAAATTAATACACAATGTTGGAATGTTGTCAATGGTGCATTGTGCATGCCCAATGTCAAGAAACTCATTTTTGATATGTATGGTCATGTATGACGATCATGAAATTAGACATAGTTTTTTATTGTGTCATCTCTATTTTTCCCTGTCCTCGAGAACACCTTACTTTGTATGGTCAAGTGGATAACGTATTAAATTTTTAAAAATCAATCGGGTCCAGGACCAATCCAGTATATCTTATCAAAATCCTTCGTAATTAAGTCCATTTTTATGTACAATGTGTATCATAACTGTTTCTTGTTACGGAATATATTTTTTCAGCATTTATTTTCATATTTTGTTAAGAAATTTGCACTTGCATGTTTGCAGTATAATTGTTGTGTGTGTGTATTTTTAGAATAGAAATCCAGATTTAGTCTGTGTTTCAAGGTGTTTCGGTTATGGTCATGAGACCTAGGCTTATCCTCATCAGGTATCCCTAGCCTATAGTTTTCTTTCTTGTAATATTTAGAATGGTTCCAATTTGATTTCACTTATGGGGAACATCAACCAACCCTACATCCGTATTTAAAGGATTCATTACTGCAGAAATTATTCGTTTTATAAGATCTTGCAATAACCTAAATGACTTCAATAAAGAAGTCCAACTGTTTAAGTCTAAACTTCTTAAAAGAGGACATTACGAAAATGAGATTGACAACATTATAACTAATACAACAAAACGAGAAAGGAAACAAACTTTGAAATACAATTATAAAAATAAGAAAGCGCCTCCACCACTCGTTTTTGCAACAAGATTTAACCCAGCATTTACAGGAATCGGAAGAGCTTTAAGGAAACATTGGCACCTAATCGAACAAAACAGAAATACAAAAACTATGTTTCCAAAACCACCGATTATTGCGTACAAAAGACATAAAAATCTGAAAGAATATTTAACGAATTCTAAAATGGAAAATGATATAGTCGTATAAAATCAAATAAAAGATAAAAATATCACACACAATAAAATTACAGAACAGCTAAAATAAAGAGAGAAATAAATAACAAAAAACAGAAAGAAACAAAAAAGGAAGAAACGAACTAGAACGTATGAACAGGTGTCGTATCCCCATAAGTGAAATCAAATTGGAACCATTCTAAATATTACAAGAAAGAAAAATATAGGCTAGGGATACCTGATGAGGATAAGCCTAGTTCTCATGACCATAACCGAAACACCTCCTTTAATATTTGAAACACAGACTAAATCTGGATTTCTATTCTAAAAATACACACACACAACAATTATACTGCAAACATGCAAGTGCAAATTTCTTAACAAAATATGAAAATAAATGCTGAAAAAATATATTCCGTAACAAGAAACAGTTATGATACACATTGTACATAAAAAATGGACTTAATTACGAAGGATTTTGATAAGATATACTGGATTGGTCCTGGACCCGATTGATTTTAAAAAGGATGATTTCTAGAAATGATCGGAAATGGCAAAAATGGTTTGGGTAATATAAATGTTGCCTTTTTTCAAAGATTTGTCCATTTATTAGAACATTTAGTATCCAGTTTTTTCGTTTTTTTACCTCTTTATTTTTTTTCAACATTAAAGTTCGTCTCCCTTTGATAGTTCTCCCTCCTTTCTCCCGCCCTTTCTCTCCTTTCTCCCGTCCCCCTCTCTCCTTTCTCCCGACCCCTTTCTCCTTTCTCCCGCCCCCTTTCTCCCTGTCTCCCAATACCCAAAAATATACTTTGGTCTGTATATTGACAATATTTCACAGATGAATACTATGAAATTTTGTCCAGTGAAAAGGAGGTTATATTTTGTGTGTATTGAGACAATATTTCATAGACAGATTGTCATGAAATTTTGTCTCATGAAGGGGTGGTTATCATCATTTATTTTACCTCCTATACATTTCTAGGAATATGATTGGTTATAAGCAACCGCGTGGAGACCGTGTATATTCCATTTTAGGTTAGTAGGCGGGGCTTATTTCAATACACGGTTAGTAGTGGTGTATCTCTTTATAAAAAACAAAACGGTACTGAGAAAAAATCTTTAAAGGCTTCAACAGACGAAAACATTGATGATGAAAGATTGAAATAAATTCATAAAACACATTTAAAGCTAACAAGTTGTTATTGTTGGCATTTGTTTTTGTATGACCAATAGAAGTAGTTTCTTAATGCTAACGGCATTGAAGACTGAGCTTGCTCACTTTGATAGATCACTAGTCTAAAGACCACATTTTAAGATAGTCGGATAAGATAAATTCGTTACATAGTGTGCTATTGACGTAATACGGTATATACGGGGTCAGTAAATTCCATATAAGGGATTCGAGCTTCGCTCTCACCCCATATGCAATTTACTGACCCCATATATACCGTATTAGGTCACTTAAGCACACTATGTAACTAATATTATATCATGTTGGATAATTATATCAATATAACAGTGTTTTATTTGATTGATAATAACAAATAAACAAATGAATAAATAGATACAGGTATATAAAACAGAAAAATATTTTTGCTCATCATGAATGGCAAGGAATACAAAACACTTTTTTGAATATCTCAGTCTCAGTCTGATCACAGTAATAAAGTTGTACCGATTGGAATTTCTGAAAATCGGAAAAGAGTTATCAGATAAAAGGCTAATTCATGTTGTTTACAAAATAATGAAATTTATTCCAAATGTTTTAACAAGAAAACATATAATGTTACTTTTAATTCATGAAGATAAACTTGAAAGAGTTACGTAAACTTGCTTTACAATATAGTTTCAGTTATAAATATTAAAAATAAACAAAAATATAAATTTAAAAATGTGCATGCTGCATAGGCTGTTTACGGTTTTTAATTATTTTGTAAATACTAATAATTTGATTGGGAAATATTTTCATGGACATTATTTCATAGTGAACATATTGTCCTCCATGGAATATTGTCCGTCGGACAAAATTTCTTATAAAATATTGTCCGTGGACACTATTTCATAGTGAAATATTGTCCGGCATGGACAGAATTTCATAGCGAAATAATGTCCAGAAGGAGGTGACAAACATTCATGGACAAGGACATTATTTTTTAATGAAATATTGTCCTGGACAGTATTTCATTATGAAATAGTGTACGCGGACAATATTTTATATGGAATTTTGTCCGATAGACAATATTTCATGGGGACAATATTTTATGTTACATAAGCACCCGGGCATCACTGTAGGAGAAGCTTTTCCCATATTAAAAGTGGGCTTCATTCATCGCAAAACGTATAGCATCTTTTTTACACACAGTTATTGATAATACTTTATTTGCGAACAAACAAAAACCAATTTTGGCCATAACAAATACATAGACAAAACAAACATAAGAAAAACTCGACAATAATAGTATACATGTTAAAAACAGTTATTGGTCTCCTTTCCTCAGTTCTAATGACTCTTTAATAATGTAGACCAATCTTTTTCCTTATTTATCAGATACATCCTAATATTCACTGATTTGTTTCCTTTTTAGGCTCATTAGAAAATGAAAATTTAATAAAGAGAACATAAATACCTTTCTGAATTTTGAGTCTTCAATGCTTTTCAACTTCATACATTATTTGCCCTTTATAACAATTTTGACTTGAGCGTTACTGATGTGTATTTTGCAGACTGTGTCTGGCGTAGACAATTTTAATCCAGATATCTATGATGAGTTTATATTAAATAGAAACAAATTTGGAAATGTTATCATAACATTAATTCAGCTTATTATCTTTCATTATAAAAAAATCTACAAAGGTAAGGTATATCAAGAATTTCTTACTATATAAATACTTGGATATATATGGCACGTCGCCGGTATCAATCTTTAGCCGGCGGTCAAGATATACCATAATATATCTAACCATGGAAGTAATATTGACAGGAACGTCAATATGATACTTCCATGATCTAACTTTATTAGATAGCTGATACTGACTTCTTCTACATAAAATATCGCAATTTTTTTTTATCCATAATTTAAAGTTTATAAGATATCTCTATACGCCCTTGCTCATAGTGGTCAAGTAGAAAATTCAGATTTCACATTGAGAAGTGTATGTAATAAGTAATTTTCAGTTTAAGTATTATTTTTAATGCATCAGCAATATATGCACATAACTATTTCCAATCAGATATGATCAAAGTCAATACACACAGAAGTCACCATTCATTGTTGAGGTAAAACTACACTCGTCATAACGCATTGTAATATGTATTTAAAAAATATTCTATCAACACTTATGCTTATACCGATCAATCATTATTCCTACACTAAGGTACAAAGAGAGGGGATCAGCAAAAATATCATGAATTCAGTTTTTACCCAACATATAGCATGCCCCTATCCAACACACTACCATTTTCAAGTGACAGTCCAAATCCACGAACACAATCCCAGTCAGTGGTATCCAGGGGTGGTTCCGGGGGGTGGAACCCCCTTTTTGACGATCAATGCTTTTCAATGGGAACATATGGTTGGAACCCCCTTTATCCTGGGTTGGAACCCCTTTTAAAAATGGCTGGATCCGCCCCTGCGGGTCGACCCACTTTGAAGAATCTATTTAATTAATTTTTAAGCATGTTCTCGTCTTAATTACACATGTAATGTTTGCCACTTGACGCCAAACAGACGCAAAATAATTATCCAATCGAGTATGGACAAGACGCAGGACCCATAGTCAACGAGAAAGCATGATACATTTTATCAATATGTACATAACAAATGATAATGTATCAATGTTTGCATAGGCGGGTCCAGGGGGGCCCTGGGGGGCCCGCCCCCTTTTATGTGAAAAAATTGGTTGATTGTATGGGGAATCACTTAAAAATGACTAGAGCGGCCCCCCTTATGTCAGTCAGTGCAACCCCCCTCCCCCCACCACCCTTTATAAAAGTTCTGGATCGGCCACTTTGTTTATTCCAATAGCACCATATTCAAAGATAATACGACTTAAGATTATTATGCAGAGAAACTTTATGAATAAGTTCATCACATAAGTTAATGAGTTTCAATAAACTACACCTAACTAACCAGCCTTTAGTAGTATATTGTTCAGTGGATATATATACAAGCAGTAAAAACTTCTCCCAATCAAAACTCCGCCTGGAAGAAAAGTATACATTTTGTCAATAGTTTTACTTTAGTTGTGAGGATTAATATTTGGTCCTACCAGATTTCTTTCTATATTCTGATTTAAAAAAGCTTGGATTTAAAATCTGTTGACAACCGATTTTCAAAGGTTATATTTTTGGAACGAAATGCGTCAAAGAAATACTGGCTAATGGTTCATATACAATGAATTGTATTACTGCGATCATTTCGACGTTATGCCGCACTTAGCACTTGTCAATGAGCTTAAAATTCAAATTGTAAATGTCAATGAGACAGTTAGGGTTCAGATATACATACATTCCAAATAGAACAACTATCGCCTGTGGAATATATTCTGTTAAATTACAACAAAAACACGAAACATTAAAGAAAATTTGCCAAATAGTTGACGTTAAATGGCAATTTCAAAAATAGTCCCAAGCAATTATTACATGTCAGATGATTAATCTAATGACACATGCATCTGATATATATATACATGTATATGCTAATAGACTAACTGTGCACCACTTATTGCGGACCTTTTTTTGTATTGCTATGAGTTACAATTTATGACAAAAATCAGCAAAGACCCATCGAAACAACATCTGATACACAAATTTAATAATACTTTTAGATATTTGGATGATATTTTGGCTCTCAATAATGACGACTCCAGTATGTATACTAAAGAAATTTATCCTATTGAACTTACTTTAAATAAAGCTAATACTAACAATGACCACTGCCCTTTCCTCGATCTTGATATCTATATCATTAATGGAAAGCTTAATACTAAAATATATGATAAAAGAGATGATTTTTCATTTCCTATCGTTAATTATCCATTTTTAGATGGTGACGTTCCCTTGTCACCATCTTACGGTGTTTATATATCTCAACTTGTACGATTCGCTCGTGTATGTAACAATGTTTTAGATTTTAACGAGAGAAATTTACTGAAAAATTATTACACCAGGGTTTTCGATATCACAAACTAGTCAAAACATTTACTAAATTTTATCATCGGTATAAGGACATCATTCGTAAATATAGCTCAACATGCAGACTTCTTATACGTTCAGGTTTTCACATCCAATTTTTTATGGAAATATTCTTTATAAAGCACAAAAATGTCAGTATTCACCTCTGAAGCTAACAACACCTTTAAATAGACTTATTAAGAAGGGATATAGTTACGATACTGTTGTCAGGTCATTAAAGATTGCATATTTTGGCGTTAATATTGATTCACTTATAGGGTCTTTGCATCGGCACTAAACACATTTATTTAAAAACCAGTTGTTGGCATGACACGGGTTATGTTCTTCTCATATATGTTATGATGGTATGATACTAAACCCCTAACGGGAAGGATTGTGCCTGATATTCATATGATGAAGACATAATCTTTCAATCAGTTTAATTGAAGTCTGGAGCTGGCATGTCAGTTAACTGCTAGTAGTCTGTTGTTATTTATGTATTATTGTCATTTTGTTTATTTTCTTTGGTTACATCTTCTGACATCAGACATTGTCAGACTCGGACTTCTCTTGAACTGAATTTTAATGTGCGTATTGTTATGCGTTTACTTTTCTACATTGGCTAGAGGTATAGGGGGAGGGTTGAGATCTCATAAACATGTTTAACCCCGCCGCATTTTTGCGCCTGTCCCAAGTCAGGAGCCTCTAGCCTTTGTTAGTCTTGTATTATTTTTAATTTTAGTTTCTTGTGTACAATTTGGAGTTTAGTATGGCGTTCATTATCACTGAACTAGTATATATATTTGTTTAGGGGCCAGCTGAAGGACGCCTCCGAGTGCGGGAATTTCTCGCTGCATTGAAGACCTGTTGGTGACCTTCTGCTGTTGTCTGTTCTGTGGTCGGGTTGTTGTCTCTTTGACACATTCCCCATTTCCATTCTCAATTTTAAATATATATTTTCATCTACACTGTGATTTTATTGTTGAAATTACTAATTATGTCAATCAGTTGTATCTGATTTTATGCCCTTTATGGGCCCTGTAATTTGGGAAATAAAAATATTCTATTCTATTCTATTCTATATGTGTTGTGATCCGAATACAGTGTAACTAATTATGTATATGTATATATATATACTATAAATATATGTTGTTTTTGTAACAGGATCTGCATGTTAACATCATAAACGAAAGTACTTAAACAATACCGGAAACAATAAAGATGCCGATGGAGATCATCTGCCACTCATAACAGTAAGTTGTCATTTTACACCATGAAATTAAAAAAAAGATTAAAGTTAGAATACTTTAACGACAAATGAAATAAATTTTTCTGCATTCCGCATGAGTAGTTCAATGAGCACACTATTTATTTTAACGGTTCCTGAATAAAACAAAAAAGCAAGACAAAGGGGTCGTAAGGACTTGTCTTCAGGACACGGCATACAGTTGTATAAAAAGTAGCATTCAACATCCATAAGTGTGTTTATAAGGTGTGTTTAGAAGACGAATCTCTGTACAATGAATACCAATCGCAAATCGGGGTTGACAAAATTTGCACACATACAAGTTAAAAACTCTCATTCACTACTTTCTGTACGAAATTTAATCGTTATTCTAATCATATTTTCACTCGATACTTCAATGTTTGACCATTGGTGACAATTCTCAAACATACTACAACTTAAAGAAATGACGGACCACCTAATAAAAACGAGCAAAGCCACGGAGGAGTTCTCATAGCAATATAACTATAAAGACTTTGTAAGCTCTGAAATAAAAGAACTAAAAACTGATTGTGAAATAGTATGGGTAGAAGTCAATATCGATGGTTCTAAAAATTTACAACTAGTATCATTCTAGAGACCAACTTCTGACAATGGCACAGCATTAGAACAACTGCAATTGTCAATAAATAGAATAAATAAATAAACAAAAGTCTACAATCATAATAGGCGGTGACTTTAATTTAAGCCATATAGATTGGTCAAACAACTTTGTCATCTCAGGAAAACCTGACCAACAACAACAACACAACATGCTACTTGACTTAATAAATGATTCAAACTTAACTACATCAAGTAGTAGACATACCAACTAGAAAAGATCGTATACTCGACCTCATAATAACAAGCAACCCTTCTTACATTAACAAAATTAGCACTCTTCCACCTATTAGTCTTAGCGACCATGATGTTATCTTCGCTGATGCAGATATCTGGCTAAACAGGATAAAAGAAACACTACGTAAAGTTTTGAAATATAACATTGCAAACTGGAACATCATTAAATCGGAGCTAGAAAAAATTCATTCACTAACAGACATAATTAACATCTATAAAAAATCAGATGTAAATAATTTGTGGAAGCTCTTTCTTTAAAACAAGACTTATAAACACAATCCAAGCTAACATCCCATCAAAAATGCTAATATACAAGCAAAGAATACCCTGGATAATATTCACTTTGAAAACTCATAACCAAGACTATATAAGAAAAGCAAAGATAGTAACTGTTGTGACAAATATATAAAACTTAAAAGGAAAGTACAAAATAACAAAGAGAAGCGTACTGGAATTACATTGAAAGAATAATTTGTGACCTACCTATAAACGAAATGCCTGATTGTTTGAAATTTGGTCACCTTCAAACAATCAGGCAAGGCCAACAGCTTTTTCAGTTTATAAAATCCATAAGAACAGACAAATCATGTATCTCAGTTCTCAAAAAAGATGGTAACCTCATAACTGACACCACTGAAAAAGCCAACATCTTGAACGATCAAATTCAGTCGGTTTTCACATCAGAACCGAATGACACCATACCAGATAAAGGACCTAGCGAACATCCAAGTATTTCACATCTAACCATATCTACACCTGGCATGGTACATGGTAACGTCGCTCAAGCTTTTAAAAGGGAGACACACATAAAGCAGTAAACTACAGGCCTATTTCATTAACTTGCATCTGTTGTAAGTTAATGGAACACATAGTTACAAAACATTTAATGAACCACCTTGTAAATAACAACATTCTCTATGATCTCCAGCATGGCTTCCAAAATTCACACTCTTGTGACACTCAGCTGCTTTGCTTCATGCGAGAATTATCAGAAACAGACAATAAAAACATTCAAACAGATTTAATTATTACGGATTTTGATAATGTTCCACATCGAAGACTTCTCTATAAATTACAGTATTATGGCATCTCTGGACAAACACTTAATGGATAAAGGCATTTCTGTCAAACAGTACACAAACTGTTGTCATAGATGGAAATTCATCATTGATCATCATTAACTGTCCCTGTCACTTCTGGTGTTCCGCAAGGTACTGTATTGGGCCCTGTCTTGTATTGGTTTACATTAATGACCTACCAGACTACTTCACCCACAGTAAGCTCAGGCTATTCGTAGATGAAAGCATAATAAACAAATCGATCAGATCCCAGAGTGACTGTAATAAATCCCAAGTAGATCTAGACGCGGCAGCTAGTTGGGAGTGGGATTGACTGATGGCTTTCCATCCAGATAAATGTACTGTGCTATCTGTCATCATACGAAACAACCTATACAACACAGCTACATTTTAAATGGTCATACACTTGAATCAGTAACATCAACTAGTACATTGGTATCACAATACAGTCAAACTTCAAATGGGAAAATACATCCAAAGGTAACAAATCACTGGGTTTTCTAAAACGAAATATAAAAACAACAAACCCACACTTTAAATTCCAGGCATACCAATCACTCGTCCGACCAAAACTTGAATATCCTTGTTCTGTTTGGGACCCTCACACAACCGAATAGGTATCCAAAATTGAGAAAGTCCAACGACGAGCTGCTCGGTATGTCTGCAATAAATACCACAATACGAGCAGTGTTACATGCTCACAACATTGAATTTATCATCACTAACAGAACGTAGGCTACGCACAAGACCTGCAAAATTTACTATTAGACAAATAATATTTCACTTTCCTTAGAAACATAGCTGAGTAAAAGACTGGCTGCAAAAATGCAGATTCATGCACATGAGTTATGGTAATTTAAAGTACAAAGCATACCTTTATTTGTAAGATTTCGTTATATCACAAATTGCTGAGTTGAGTTTTTATTTACTTACCGTCCAGTTCAAATGTTTCAAACATGCATATATAAAGGACAGAAATACATTGACATGTATATTTCACAGATATCCACTTTAAAGTTGGTCAACCGGGATTAAGGGCAAACAATTTGGTCTATAACTTCAAAAAAAGGGCATTTTGGATAAAAAAAACCAGACTGTACTCCAGACTTTTAGTAATGTTTATTAACGTGTAGAGAGCATGGCCAGTTTCATATGCGAATGATTGGAGGAGAACCGACACATAATTTTGCTCCTGATTGTACCGATGTATAATAATTAACCGTATCGTAAATGTTTACTATTTTTTGTTTATATTATGTTCATATAAAAAAAAAACTCGAATACGGGAAATTGTTATACTACCGCAACTAAAGTTCCTTTGTTGGCATTAACAGCAAATGCTTTGACAGAATTCAATTCCAATGACTAGATTTTTGAAATGCTGCATGACAGACAATATCATAACGTATGTTTTGCACCCACAGTTAGCTAAATTCCTAAACATCAATTAAATTACATCAAATTTAGATTGTATTTTTGCCAAAAATGATAAATAAAATTTTTAATGTTAGAAAGGAATAATAGTACATTCTAAAATAGGTTTATATTTTCAGAAGTTTCACCGATTTAAGTTTTCTATAAGAGAGTTAAAGATCATGGCAAATTTAACAGACGAGTTCACAACTAACCTTGATGTAAAAAGCACAGAAAGTCTCGATAAACGATTACTTTTCCTAATGGACAAAGCAGCAAAGAAAGTCAAAGAAGTAGCGCCTATTATTGATTATGTTCATCAGAAAGTTGCAGATTACAGAAAGCAGAGACCTTACGATACAGTAACAGTTGTCGGTAGTGTAGGTAACGAGCTTTACGTCCCTGAGATCATGCCAGACGGTTCATATTTGATAGAGGTAGATGTGTTGTATAACAGAGAAATGCCAAATGCTATCCTTCCCATTTATATGCCTCCTGAAGAGGTTCTGTATACCAGGGAAAAACCGAGTGTTGACATGCCTACTGAAAAGCCGCCTGTAATTACCGTTAAGATGGATTTCATGAATGACGAAAACAAAATAGTGACATTGCCAATAGGGGCATGCTTAGTAGAGGTTACCGGTAACATTGATGAAGTGGAAAAAGGTCAGAGGTGGAAATTTTTCAAAGAACTTTGGAATGGTAAAACTTACTTGAAATCTTTAGGATATACATGCTTAATTCCACGACAGGAAGATCCGAGTATTTTAGGCGAGATTGAAATTGAACCATTGGAAAAGGCCAAAATTTTGCAGTTGTATAGGACATGTAGAACTGAGATGGATACTATGCTTGTTGATGGAAGAGAGCTTAAATTTAGAATTTTGGTTGACAAAGTTTCTGCTCTTATAGGTCCTTGACCTAATATGCTGTCAGATTTCAAGAGCCGCTCGAGAAAATGGCCAGAAACAAAGATAGTAGAAAGTATTGTCCAGGATGGTTGCTTGTTGACACACAAGACATCACTGCAGGTTTATCCTTTGCAGTGGAAAATTACATTTTCGCTAGCAGAACAACAACTGACAAAAACTTTTTCATTTCATCAGAAATATTTGTTCATATTGCTCAAACAAGTGAAGAAGAAATATCTGGACATGGGATTAATGGAAAATGGAGTACCGATTGTCGGTTTAACATCATACCACTTGAAGACAATTTATCTATGGATGTGTGAAGACATTGATCCTCAACAGTTTATTCAGCATCCCGGTTTATGCTTTTTAGTATTTCTAAACAAGTTGAAGAAATGCATTGAATTTTACGACTGTCCGCACTTTTTCATTTCGTCATTAAATGTCATGGAAGGACTTAAACGATATAAGAGACCGGCTACAAAGGAAGAAATTGAAGTATGGAGGCATAAGCGGAAAATGCTCCAAAACATTACACTCCGACAAATTAGTATTCTAATGCAGAAGCCTGAAAATTTCTTGACCGACGATATTCTTGATGAAATAGATGAAACTCATATACATCTGTTACAAAGGACAATCGGAGATGAACAATAGTGTCTTTACTATCGAAGAAATGTACGAAGGTGAAAAGAAATTGAAAGGTGCTAAATATGAACAAAATTATTTAATTCAAATCGTGAATTTATTTATTCTAAATGGGTTTTTTTATTTTCAAATATCACAATTGATAATTCTTTTTTCTTTGTTTTTTTTTTTTAACTTATTGTGATGGCAGTTAAAGTGCGAATAACGAATAATAAATGTGCTTGTTCACACTATACGGACTTCATTGGCACGGATGTGCTGCTATTCATACTGCTCTAACAGAGTTCTAGACAAATGAATTAGTCGCTACAAACGTTTTACAGTGAACACGAATTCGTCAATTGACTAGTTGCATGTTTTCGCTGTCTATTCTAAATACATGAATATTTTTCTTACTTGTCAATTTGTCGATTGTGTCCTATTTCTAATTGTAATATTTTTACTGAGTGGATGCGCATTTTGGATTTTGCAGACGTCTATTTTTGTATAAGTATGACACTCATTCCAGTAGACGCACACAGTCTCGTTCCCTTTGAGGATCTTGTGATTCCAAATTTTTTACGTTGATTTGTACCTTCACAGTATGTGTCAGAGATTTGAATATCGAATAACTAAGCTTCTGTTTTTTTTATTTGTCATTGCAACAGCTCATACTTTCCCCACACTGTTTATGACGTATTGATACTAAATCGTTGGAGGGGTTTTGATTCTTTTTTTAATCAAGGAAACCGTGGTCTATTAATTAGCTAAAATGCTATTCATAAATAAAAAAAAATAGAGTCAAAGACACATTGTTTCGGTTAACCAGTAAACGTTGGTTACCGTAAATCTTCTTTAGAGGATTTCAGTCGTTCATCATCATAACACTCCTTGGGCAGGTTTCGAGTTAGGACCGTACGCTTTTTATGAATAAGAGACAACGTCACTTGTCGATCTTCAAATCTCGCAAATCCATAAAGAATATACAAATTAAAATACAAAAAATAGAACGAATCACATGAACTCCAAATAGAATGAGACAGGTTGCGTTGACAAGGTAATGATCTCCTGCTATACAAGCATTATCTGACATGCGAATATAAACCAAGCAATACTGTTACAATAACTGAATAGGGATAAGGACGGAATCAGTAAATATATAGATCAAACGACTGTTTTGGAAGCTAAAATTCTAATAATTTGAACATATGTCTCTTGTGAGTTGAAACATCGACTTTTAGTATGGGTCAACCAATTCATAGCGAGAACGTAAGACTTGTGCACTATCGATTTCATTCGTTCGTCATCGTCATAGAAACATTCCCGGATATGTTTTGTGTTAGGAACACACCCTGTTAATTAATAAGAATCAACAGTCGTTTCCCTTGTTCAAATTTCGTAAATCCATTAAGAATATACAAAATCAAGATAAAAAACAGAAATTGAAGAAATCCCATTGACGACTAATAAAGCGAGACAGTGTGCGACGAAAGGTTAATCATATGCCATACATCATCAGCCGAACTATACTCAGTCAAAATGTCACAATAGGGGATAAAAATTAATCAGTAAGTGTTCAGCCCAGACGAATTTTCTGGTTGCTAAATTTCAAAGAATTTGAAAATATGTCTCTTGTCACTTAAGGCAGACACACTGTATCGGCCAACCAATTCGTGATGGTGTTCTTTAACTTGTATAGTGTCGAATTCTGTCGTTCTTCATCTTAATGCCCCTATTGCAGTTTTGCGTAAGGACCAAACCCTGTTATTAAAGTTCGTATAATGGGAACATACACGCGCTTCACGTATCAATCGAAACATATGAATGCAATACAATGCTGCATTGCAGCAGAGGTTATGATACTACTCATTAAAGTTCAGTTGAAAATGGGAAATCTGAACTTTCTTTCTTTTTTTCAAAGATCCAAATTTGACACGTCTATCTTCGGCAATATCAAAAATAACAAAATATGGAGCAGACTTTCTAGTTTCTGGTGTATCATTTGTGTCAAATTCACTGAGATATATGAGATGCAAACAATCTCTGATATGTGATTAATGTATGACAGGACATCATCGATATACCTGGACGCGATATAAGAAAAATAATGCAAATATGCTTTTTCCTTTTGACTTTAATGTTTTGCATGTCGCCCAGTAGGTTAGGCTTAATTGCTCATTTGGAATAACGAATGTATGTCAATTAGCAACCCATTAAACTCAACAAATAAGCTATCGATTAAAAATATCGAGCATTTTCATAACATCACATTCTATGTATCGTTGTTGCAATGTGTGTGATTTTTTTATGGCCTAAACAGGGAAGTGTTTATATATATATAAAGTGTCTAACAATGTAATTATAACACACTATTTAGTATGTAAATATTAAAATGTAAAAAATATTTACAATGCGATAAAAAATAAACGCAATATTTCGCTAGACAAACTAGCTTCATCGAGCGTGCATCTATCCAGGTGAAATCGGATGTAGATAAGAAACTTTTGCATTTAGGGTAAACGGACAGAAAGTCACAGGACAAAAAGTCACAAATAATTTGTTGACAATTGTTTGAATATATAAAAGAATGATCTTGAAATATAGTTTTTTTTATTTCATATATTCATTTTATAGTTTAGGACATTTTGTTTTCTTAACAATTATTTGATCATTATTGAAATTCATTAAATAAATTTTAAATACAAAGTTGCTTTGTATATAATAGTTCAAGAAAAATACAAAAAAAAATAACAAATAAGTGTTTTCTTATTCAAAGAAAAAAAAACCCAAAACTGAATTGTGACTTTTTGACTTGTGACATTTTGTCCTTGACTTTTTGTCTGTGGCTTTTTGTCCTGTGACTTTCTGTCCTACATTCGAATTTAGCTGCCTTGTAAATAATTGAAAATTTGTTTGAAGTTCACTATTTATAGGCACTTATGTGTGTGTGTGTGTGTGTGTGTGTGTGTATTGATATTGAATTGATTGCAGATTAGCTAAATTATCTATCGTAAAGGATCGTAATCTGGTGAACCAATGGATGGATCTGTCGTTGAGTTGTCACTTGTTAAGACGTACTTATCAAATAATTATTTCTGTGACTGCATCTTACGATCCTTTACGATAGATAATTTAGCTAATCTGCAATCAATTCCGTCTTCATGCCTATTATATCATGTACTGTATTACAAATCTAGATTCTACCGACGAGGAAAGGTAACACTAGGCCACCGAAAGCTGAATTTTAAATTCAGTGTTCAGTTTATATGGCCGAGTGGTCTAGAGCGCTGAACACAGTGCAGGCGGTGTTGTCACGATATCCAAATAGCATGAGTTCGAATCCCGGCGAGGGAAGAACAAAAACTTGCTTCCGCAAATGTGCAGATTTAACATTATTGTGCTGATATTTAAACTAATTATGAATATAATATGTGTTTTCAACCGTGTATCACCCTTACTGGTGATCCAATGGATGGATCTGTCGTAGAGTTATCACTTGTTTAGACGTATGTGTATGTGTATTATTTTGAACTAGTTTTTACTTCTGGGGTTCTCACTGAGCACCAAATGCAGAAAAGGTGCAACTTGATTTTTGATGAATATATTTGGTGTCAAACAAAGGACATGTTTTGCAAATGCAATATTCAGTTTGTTATGAAGTTTGTATATATGCACTAGTAAACGAAAAATTGTACAGAAAATTTATAATGATAATATTGGGAACATATTCCGAAAAAATCATTTGTGATGTTCTGATAACGTCTTTTGCTTTTAGGGCTCGGTAACCTTGTATGTATTAAACAAAACATACTTGATATGATTCAGAGGAAACAATGTTATCCACCAAAGACCAAATCAATGTTTGAAACAAGACATGTGTAAGGCAATGGTTGTCGTAATTGTTGTCTGTCAAACAGGCCATTTCTTTTCTCGTTTAAATTGTTTGTTGTTTTACCAGACAAAAATCAACGACAACGTTGGTTTTCTCGTTTGAGTTGTTTACAATTAATTTGTCATTGTTGGTCTTTTATAACACGTTTAACTTACGACTCGATATGTGTTTGATTCTTTGTTGAAGACGGTAGACTATAGTTAGTTGCTTACATCCGCGTCATTTGATCTCTGGTGGATAATTGTTCCATTAGCAATCATGCAAAATCTCCTTATTTTTAAATTAAGTGAACTGCACCAAACTTTACACGTTTTTTTTTTGTACATTCTGACTGAAAAGATTTGGCTTGAAAAAGTAAATTGACTGCTATATACTTTGGGAAATAACTGTTAGCTCCTAAGACCATACTTCAAACTTGAACACGGTAACTAGCATGACACACTTTGAGTTACTAGAGCTAAAAATTGAAATTTAACTCAAATAAGACAGTCAAGATTAAATCATTTGCAACCATTAAACTGAATAATAGATCTTTTAAAAGTATGCGCTTCAAATATGAAAAATCTTCCCAATATACGACGTTTGTGTTAAATGTTTAAATCTATCTCTTTATGATATATGACACATCATAAACAGATCTGATCGTGTTTAAAAATTTCTCAACCGAATAAACTATATATAGTAATTATATATATACTAGTATATGATATCATAGATAACGATTAAAATGTTCAAGGATCTGCATACATGTTTACACAAAAACGAAGGTAAACAAATAAGATAAATGTTGATGGTGATGTTGATAGTCTGTTATTTATAATAGTAAGTAATTTTAACAATCAACATTTTCAATCAAAGTCAAAATGCTACATTTTTTCCCGATAATACACGAGTGGATCAATAGATTTATTTTGAATGACTTTTGATACTGTTCAAACTAATCTCAAAAAGTTAACCAATTATAGTGTTTGGTCACTCGTTAAATATTTGTCGAATTCTTGGATTTGTTCTTTTAATTATAGAGATTTATAGCTTAAATAATTTAAAAGAAGAAACTTGCGGAACTTTTACGTTCATTCACTTCGTTTATAGATGCAACGCCATTGACAAAGCTTGACATCAACTACTAAAACAAATGATATTATGATTTCAAAATTCAGTCTGTCCAATATGCATTTTATTTACTGGAAAAAATTCAAAAAGCCAAAAGTAATAAACTCTTGAGAAATTAAAACAAAAATGGGGGTTTGCCGATTAGAGAATAATGGGTAGAAACATGGTGCAATTGTTTTTTTAGATAATAATGGGGGTGCTAAAATATAAAAGAGACTGATGAACCAGAATGTTAAAAATAGAGAAAAATGTCATAAGATTTTAAGCATATAGAACTGAAGACAACCCAGAGCAAAACCCTTTTAAACAGAACGCGTCAACTACAAAAGCATAGAATTTATTAGTTGATTCGACGAAAAATGGAAATTGGGCTGTAAAATTAAAAACTGTTCTTTTGTACTCTGCTGGGTAAAGCAGCATCAAAGAATTTTTTTATTCAAGACAACCGCACTGGCAGTGTTGGAACGAATCAGAGCTTGCCATTTTGCATTGACAAATATATTTTGTTGAAGACCATAGGTTGACCTCTAGATGTATTTATGTGTCGTCAAGTTATTGTCTCATTGACTACCCCAAATATACTAAATCGCAATTTATAAGGGTTCCAAATGGAGGGGAAGAAGTCATATTTCGGAAGTTTTATGAAAACCATCACGGGATGGTTGACCGTTTTGGAATATCTGTTCCACAGCTGACAACGGATATGTTTCAATTGTACTAACCACAATGCCGTCCTCTTTTCCGCGATTGTCACATCACAGATTGGGACTTATCATAAGATTTGAACTTGCATGAGCAACACGACAGGTGCCACATGTGGAAAAGAAACTGATTTCCCTTCCGGAGCACATGTTTTTGTTGGGTTCGGGCTGCATACTTAGTGTTTGGTTTTTTATGTAGTGTTTTTGGACTTTTTTGTCTATTCGTCATTTCTCGTTTAATGCCTTGACTTGTGAGTTTTGAATGTCCCCTTGCATGGTATATTTCGCCTTTTTTAAGGTATGATTATATTTTTGCATCTGATGCTAATTTGTATTAGAAATATACCTATACATATAATAGAATGAGAAACTCATTTATATTTTTAGTATCATCAAAAGTATCACTGATTCAAATTATACAAGACAGGACGCGAAGAAATAGTGCAAAAATGGCAAGCTTACCAGAGGAGTTCTCAATTAAACTAGACATAAGAAGTACAGAAAATCTCGATAAACGATTACTTTTCCTGATGGATAAAGCAGCAAAAAAAGTAAAAGAAATAAAGCCTGTCCTTGATTATGTTCACCAGAAAGTTGTAGATTACAGAACGCAAAGACCTTATGATACAGTAACAGTGGTTGGTAGTGTAGGTAACGAGCTTTACTTCCCTGAGGTCATGCCGGACGATTCTTATCTGGTTGAAGTTGATGTCTTGTATCACCGAGAACTTCCAGATGTGTATCTTCCCGTTCATTCTCCGCCTGATGAGACTCAGCGTAAAACGCCACCTTAAGTTACCGTGAAGCTTGATTATTTCCTGGATGACGAACACAAAGTAGTCTCGACACTTCCAATAGGTGCTTGCCTAATTGAGGTAACCAGTAATATTTATGAAGTAGACGAAAGTCAGAGGTGGACATTTTCCAAAGAATATAATGGTAAAACTTACTTGAGATCTTCAGGATTCATATGCTTAATTCCACGGCAAGAAGATCCTAGTATTTTAGGCGAGGTTGAAATTGAACCGTTAGATAAAGTAAAAACGGTGCTATTGTATAGAACATGTCGAACTAACATGAACACTATGAAAGTAGATGGGAAAGAAATTAAATTTAAAATTTTAGTTGATAAAGTGTTTGCTCTTAAAGGAACTTGGCCACATAAGTTGTCAGATTTCCAGTTCCGCGAGAAAAAATGGCCGCAAAAAAAGGTAGTCGACAGTATTGTTCAAGATGGCTGCTTGTTGACACACTTAACATCATATGTGGCTTATCCGTTGCAATGGAAAACGACATTTGCTCTAGCTGAACAACAACTAACAACGAGGTTTTCTTTTCATCAGAAATTTCTGTTCATTTTGCTCAAACTAGTGAAGAAAAAATATCTGGATATGGGGGTGATGGAAAACGGAGAATCACGTGTCGGTCTTACATCTTATCACCTTAAGACAATTTATCTATGGGTATGTGAAACCCGGGACCCTCAGCAATTTATTGACTATCCTGGAATAGGCTTTCTGTCCTTTCTGAAGAACTTAAAGCAATGCATTGCATCCACGGTCTGTCCGCACTTTTTCATGCCTACCCTAAATGTCCTGGAAGGACTCGGGCACTACAAGAAACCACTTACAGAAAATGACGAAAAATGGACAAAAGAGCATAACATTCAAACAATTTTAATCAACCGAATTGATGAAATAATAACGGATCCGGGGCAGTTTTTGACCGACGATCTTCTCGATGTCATAGATGAAAAACATATACATGAATTACAGAAGACAATTGGAGAAGCAGAATAAGATCTTTTATCTGTAAAAAAACTGCAGAAATAAAAACCATGTTGTTACTTATGTATTTATTTTCTTACTATGTTTATTTTGCAACACGAATATGGGTAAATCAAAGTGATCGAAATTACTGGTGGAAATATTTGAAAACTTGTGTATGCATAGTTTCGATCATTTCTAACATTCCATTAATGAATGGTTATGGGGAAAAACTAGATATTTCACCATTGCATATAATTGCATTATAGCCAGTTATTTAGAAAGAGAAGATATTTTTCAGTTATTATATTCAACTGAGGTAAATATTCCATGAAGGTTTGACAAAGTTATTGAAATTTCACTGTAATGTTAACTGTAAAGCAATCAAGTCCACTTATCAGTAAAATACTGAAAAATGAAAATAAATATTTTAAAATGTTTGCTCGGATACTGTTTACTGGTTATAATGATGATTCTGTATCAATTTTATTAAATATCAAAACAGTTATTGCTGTTAAAAAAAACTATAACGACAAACTGAGGGTCTGGATTGAGGGGGTCCTTCTTTCTTTATTCTATATTCTTTTATACAATTTCTCTAATCTTTATTTATTTTGCCCATTATTCTCTATTCTTTATATTTTAGCACCTCATTATACTCTATTCGTTTTTTTGACTATTTTTCTCTATTCAAAATATTTTTTGCCCTTAATTCTGCACTTTTTGCCCATTATTCTATAAACCCAATACAGACCTTATGTCTCGCTTTCGCGACATAAAGTCGAAAGCTTGACAAAAAGTGGGCATACAATCAACGGTATCTTATTTTCGATGCTAGACTGAAGTTCTGGAGGGTAACATTAGCAAAGTAGTCCATGCATCATTGTGTACTTACTGGCTTTATTTTACTTTGATATTGATATTGGAGAAATTTTTTTTTTTTTTTTTAAATGTTAAATTCTAAGGTTATACTCCGGGTGCACTGTGCGAATGTGTTGTGTTCCTTAGCTTGCGACGATGCATTATGTTATTTTCGGTTTATTGTTTTACTTATATATATAACTCTCAGATTTCCAAGAGTAGCATTGATGAAAAATAAGTTACTGAAATGCGCATATCAGTGCATTAAATTAATGTCGGTCTCCTATAATTTTCGCTAGAAATGTATATCTATCAGTATTCCTCTTGATGGATTTAATTTAAAAAATATTTATAGCTAACGAAAGTTATGTTAAACCTGTGTGATGTAGAGGTGGGACGATTGACCATAAGTAAACGGGATAGCATGACATGACAAAATGAGATTCAGATTTTCTGATTTCCTTTAAATAATATATTCACCATTATGGTGGTACAAATTACAAATGTTCATAGAATTTACAACAAAGATCTAGGTAGATTGCAAAGTCGTACTACGAATTTTTAAAACATATTTTCCATAATATTGGTCATGAACTTGAACTCAAGTATTCTGTTAGAACCTTCACTTTCATTTAAATTTTATAACAATACGTTCGTACCGCTGCTGATGGACTACTTGTTCCTAGGAGTATTGTCGGCTCAGTAATCATGCAGTGCTATAGCAACGTTACTGGCATGATTTGTAACATATTTTTCCTAAATTCTCCCGTTGATAGATTTTTATATTATAAAGAAACTAAGGTTTCAACTCTCTCAGGCAAAGTTGACCTTATGTAGAACATAGAATTGGTTATTCCTTTGTGTCTCATTTTGGTCATATAGCTCATCACGCATTCAAGTACATCATTGTCTGGCTTTTGGCGTTCATGATGACAGTAAATCCAGAAAAGCAAAACAGTTAAGTTAAATAGTATTTCCATTTTAAAGTCCTGCTTTACATTTTTCACAGTCAACAGTTCAACTATTAAGTGACTTCGAAGCAGTGGTAATATTCAGTAATATGGTTAAATGAATTATTTTCGAAATAGGAAATATTTATATGTTTCGGACCTTAGTAAAAAGTTGAATGAAACTCATCTCCACTAACACCCATGATGCAGGTTAAACACATATTTCTTTACCTTTCTACATTAATGGAATGTCAACGTTTAATAATACATTATTCAATTATGGAGTATTCAAGTCCAGTACTTCCTATTAGAAATAAACTTTCATAGATAAAATTTTGCAACACGATATTGATCAAATATACATTACTAGAATTTTCTTTTTTTTCATGTAGTTCCTTTTTTGCGTGGTCAAATTCTATTGTTTTGCTAAACTTATTTCAAAACCAATATCAACTTAAGAATTTAATGCTTCTTTTTGTAAATTAATTGGGATGTAAAAGCGTTGACCGAAGAACATTTTGTATGCTTCATTATAAAAATGTGCACACGGTTTTACAACCCTATAAAATTACTAAAAGAAGCATTCAATATTTATAATTACATTTTTTTGCTAGAATCACGAAAACACAATTTCTATTAAATTTTTCTTTTCTTTTTCTGTGCACTTTATTGTGGCAATTCGTGTCATCATGAATGTTGGATTTCATTTTGAAATGAAGGTTAATTTCAGAATGACGCGAGATTGCTGTTTGCCAATCAAAATAAGGTATTATAATGAAACATACATGTATTGTAATTATATGGTTATAACAAAAACCATTGATAGATAAATGAATTCGTAACAACGATAAATCTAAGCTACAGAAGTCTACCGATGTTCAAACCTCATAAATCGATTAAGAAGATAGAAATCAAGATAACAAACAAAAACAGAAGGAATCGCATAAACTAATAAACATAAAACAGGATCGGGACCAGGTGCGTTAACCCAATTAACCGAGTCTCACAGGATAAAATCAGTTCTCTGTAGCATAATCTTATTATAAAATTTGCTGCCGATAAAGTTTTGATCAGTCATATCAATATTCTGAATAAAAATTATGTCATTGTATACCAGTGCACATGTAAAACTTCATAATAAACGATTGCATTTGAAGTACATGTTGTTTGTTTTAGACTTAAAATATTTAACACCGTCTGGTTCAACTTGTCAATTTTCTGATTTGTCAAAATTCAAGGGTTGAACTTAGTAGATATATTATTCATTATAGAATACCATATAACATTCGAGATTGTATGCAATGCGCATTTTATTTAAAATGGATGAAAACGTCAACACAGAATATATTCATATTAATGACCCCATTAATTTGATCAACTTACAAAAAATAAAATAGCATTGTACGGTGATAATTTTTTGACCTGATTGCATCTTTATATCACATGATTCAATAAGTACAATAGAAAGTAACATTACCATTTTATTCGTAAAATATCTATCAAATACATTTGTACTTGTTGCTTCTTAACTAAAACCTATTACTGTTAATTCAGATGAAACAGAATTCGGATTATAGATTAATACAAGCAACATATAACAGGATAACAGCTTAATGAAATTAACTCTTTATCCTGTTCATTATTTTCACAAAATGTTGACTGAATTCAGTCACACAGCATTTGATAGAAGCTACAAGAAATTGTATTAAATTAGTGTTTTCCAAGACTTAAATTACACCAAGTGTGATTACATAGTATACACATCTATAATACAGATGACTGAATTCAGTCAATACAAATTCAGGAAATATTTGTTGAAAAGACCAATTCTGCAGCAGTAAAAAAAATATTATGACTGATTCAGTCACAAAATTAGGTTTACACATTTATATTCACTAGAGCATCAACTCATAGCAATGTGTATTGCTGTTTAGTTCAGTCAGAAGGGGAATAATTTAGGGATGTCACTCTAGTAACCACTTATAAAAAGACACTGGAAATTATTTCCATGACGATTATCCCTCCCCCAATCACTGTCTATTGATTTCGAAAATGCATAGTTAGTTTACAGGTTTATGTTTGTGATTCGGTCAGTTTAAGTCTGAACATTAACGGTTATTACATTAGATGTGCAGTTGTACTAGATTTTGCACATCTCATCTCCATAATGATTATTTTCCCTCCCCAAGTCATGATTCATTGACTTTGAAACTTTTACATAGGGTCAATTTCTATACTTTAATATATCAGTATACTGATGAAAAATGGGTAAGTAGTCATTTAAGTATTGTAATTTAAATTTCAACATTTGCATAATATATATCTATCTAAATTGCACACAGGTGATTCATATCTCTGTATATATTGATTGGTTACTAATACTTGCCATCAAAATTAAGTGAATTTTTGAAAGGTGTTGTTTTAAAATGATACTGTACTAAATAAATGCTTATTCTTATGTTGTGCTGTTACACCACTGTCCCAGGCTAGGAGAGGGTTGAGCGATCACAAACATGTTTCACCCTGCCACCTCCGTTATGTGACTGTCCCAAGTCAGGAGCCTGTTGTTCAGTGGTTGTTGTTGGTTCATGTCTGTCATATTGTTTTTCGTAAATTGTAATAAATTAGGCCGTTATTGTTCTCAATTGAATTGGTGTTGAATTTCGGGGTCTTTTATAGATGACTATACAGTATGGCTTTTTCTCATGTCGTTGGAGGTCGTATGCCTACGGTTACATCATTTGAACTTTCGTGGAAAGCTGTCTCAATGGTAATCAAATCAAATAGTTCCAAACTTTCCAAATTTATTTTTTTAATTACTTATAATTTTATGAAAATGAATAAAAGCAACCTTTGGGATGAACTTCACCTTAACATATTAATTTTTAATTAAAAGGGTTTTGCATTGTTTAAGAAAAAAAAATCAAGCACAATTAATTGTTAAGTTTCATTGGTAAGAACACAATTTGCAATTTCACCAAAAAACAAAAAACACAAAATACAATGAAAGCCAGAATATACCATATGAAAAGTGACAATGTTTTAAATGTAGTGTGTAACAACTAGAAGCATCAAGAAGTCTGACTTTCTCACTTAGAAAGGTTAAAAAAAAATTGATAAAAACATTGCGAAAAAATGAAAATAAAATGAAGTGAAATCAATTTCGACATTTTTATTTTAATGTCTGGATAATATTATTTATTCAATGTAAATCCAGTAAAAACAATTGTTGTCACTTCATAAATTTAAAAAAACTTGATTTTTTTTTTCAAGCGAAAAGCGGTTAAAAACTGGATCACACTTGAGACTTACATGTTCATCTTTTAATAATGTTTTGTAGATCATCACAGTATTTAAAGTTTAAAAAAAACTGTTTCACAAAAATAGAGATTGTCTAAATGCAACATTGTGATAATATGTATCATTTTGAAATTTCTTCTTTCAACTATCCCATATTAATTTCAATTGTGCTGGCATTTTGTAAAGATTAACATTATCCCACTTAAAAGAGACAAGAATGTGTTCAGTTGTTGTTTGTTCAAGATTTTGGAATCAATGTACCAGTCTGCTACTCCTGCCCAAAATATCCATTAAACCAATCGAATGTGTTATTGTCACTTTTTTTACTTCTATCCATGGTAAATTCTCCAGACTGTCTGGTCTGATCAATATCCATTGTTCTGCTTGAAGATA